GCCCCCTTCAAACACCCCAAACAGAAGGGGGATGTGCTGAATTTTGATGGGGGGCAGTGCCGAAAAAGTCACTTTTTTAAACAACATTTCTCAAACAAAAAACAGTGTTTGGGGCCTAAATAGGACATTTTTTCACTGTTTGAGGCCTCAAAAAAAGGGGGGGGGGGGGCAAATATAAGTCAAAACATGTCAATATGAGGGAAAAGGTTAAACATAAATAGAAATACTTTACAAAATAATATATTTTAACTTATTAAATTGATTAAGAATACAAATATGTTGATAGTCATTGATTGGACAGTAATATATCAGAACCTCTTTATAACCCGGTATTAAGACATTGGATCCCAACATGAACGTTACAACTGGGCTGCAGTGTGTATATACCAAAAGAAAAATAATTACTATAATGATAATACAACAAATACCAACAGGAGATGTACTTTATCATGATATAAGCAACAACTGTAGTCTTATTCTCTATAAACATTTCTACTTTGAAGATATATGAAAGGTCAGTCTATTTTCATATATCATTATAAAAGTCATGGTTATTCTAACATGTGCTTGCTAATGTAATGTGGGTTTCCTCAATAAATGTCAAACCTTTTATTATCAAGCTTCAATTTTAGATGTGCTAACTTTTCAGTACTTATATACCTAGCCATTTTCCTACATTTTAGAATTGCCAGCTACACAGTTTGAATTGAAAGTCAAAGGTTCAGAAATTTTTGAGTAATAATAGAAACTTCTGAAAAATATCTCTTAAAAAATAGCTTCTAACGTTCATATTTGACAAAGTTATAACAATCTTGATGAACAAATTTGAAGAAAAATCAACAAAACATAAATATAAACTGACAAATGTTTTGTCATTGTTAATCAGTGCCTCATCTTCAAGAACCAATGGAGGTCTTCAGTAAAGCAACTTCTTTCCCTTTCATAGATAATGCTTCTAACATAAATGAAGTTCTACTGGCATCTTTGTTGTCATATAAATTGGAAAAAACAATTATAATAATAAACAGTATTAACAATGCCAATATAAAAATGAAAACTTGTTCTCAAAATGAAATGCAAAAAAATTCAGCACATTATAAGCATAGGCGATTCAATGGCAACAAATGCACAATTTTTGTCATTGACAAAGATAATGTGATTAATGGCAAATAGTTTTCTAATCTTTCAACAGAATAAAGATGCTTAACATGCTTGTCATACAGTAAAAAAACTGAAAATCTTAACAAAATAAACATAATGCACACTAAAATGCTCTATAACAACAAAACAATATGTAATAAACCAAAAACTTACATACACAACAAACTATACATATTATTTTTATTAATTTTTATCACCCACTGTGCAAACAGTTAACAAACAAGTAACTATCTACTAGACAAAGTTTTCATCTTCAACATTACAAGGGGCCTAACCCATCGTTATCAAGAAGCCTGCTTTTTATGTTATGAATCACATACTAAACCTTCTTTCTTCTTAGCACTATGTCAATCATCATTCTTTAATTAATCATCAAGATCCGTGATAAAAAGGGTTAAACCTCCTCAAGTATCAGACAAAACATTGTACAATAGATACTAACTCATTTTTTATCAATTTTAACTATTGAAACAAAGAACTGATACTTTTGAATCTGAGATTTCCATAGCCCTTAAATCTTTGTTCATCAAGTCGACAACTTAAAACCTTTAGAATTGTGAGAAAATTTCTAATCAATCTCTTATAATACAGATCAGTAGAATTTCAATGTGTTTAGTAAACAAAACTAAAGGTTTTAAGTGTTTAACAAATGTATAATTAAATGCTCTGTTCATGTACAAGTCTTTTTGTATTTAACTACAAATGAGCCGCGCCATGACGCAGTCTGATCAGGATCCATACTGTTCACTTACAGACCCTATAACAAGTAGAGAAACTGAAAGCAAACAGCATGAATTCTGATCAGACTGCGCGGATGCGCAGGCTGGTCTGGATCCATGCTGGTCGTAAACCCATTATGTTGGTTTTGTCATGGCGCGGCTCAAATTCTTCAAAATCACTCTAAAATGCTATGCTACCCTGGCATGTCAAGGACACTTGTACAGTTCAGACACATGGGAATAATGGACTTTTAAAGTAATCCATGCAGGGTAACACTTGTTAGCATGCACTTAACAATGACAGTGACCATGGAAACTACATCTGTTGATTTAATTAGGTTCAAATCAATACATGAACTCCTTTTTTTTAAATCAAGACAAAACAAATTTTCAATCAAGATTAATGTCTAATAATTGTGTAACATTTTATCATTTGTTACAGTAACAAAAAGATTTTCTGACTCTCATTGACAACCCTGTTATCCCAATTTTTGATTTTCAGCAATCAATTATCTAATTCCTGTTACAGTTAGAACAAAGACGATCCTGTGAGCAATTAATTTTTCATAAGCTTGAAAAGTTAAAGAATATACAAAATACACCTACAACTGTTCCCCTCAGGCTGTTTTTTTTTCTTCTTAAAGTATGATTCCCAATTCAGTTAGCTGGCTAGAAAGTTTAACCAATTTTTTCAGTTATTCTGTGTATTTTTGTAAGGTTCAAACTCAATACAGGATAAGGAAGAAGTAACTATGAGAAAAACTTCTAGTGATTCTACTTCAAGTTCATTTGTTAAACTGGTCTTTTAATAGTTAATTCAAAAATTTGATGTTCATGTATTGTTTTAAAACCTCGTATTAAACTTGGACCATGCCATGCACGACTTCTATAAATAGATTTTTGTTTCTATAAATAGATTTTGTCTGCTATAAATAGATACCTGGATGCATACCTGCACCTGCTTAGGAGATCGTGGGGGGAGCGCTGGAGGGGATGGCTGTATGAATACATATATATACAAGCTTAATTACTTTATACACAGATATGTAATTGATCTTATGCCAACTGATGAAAACACTGGAATATATCAATGAGATAACTATAAACTTACTCACTTATTGTGAAAATGTAACATTAAGTCTCCATCAAAATCAAATATATTATCATTCATGATGCGAAAAACTATTGTAGACGATATTCAATAAAGACACAAGTCACTAGTGTGATTTTCTATTCAAAGACAAACTAACATATATTTTTTTCTAAAAGGTTACTGATCTACGCATTATTCTTTCTCTGTCATAAACAAATTATCTTTATGATTGCCATTGTTTTCTTCATTCAGCTTACGAAGTTAAATAATATACAAGTTCAAAAACTGCAAGTTTAGGCTGTCTTATAGGAGACAATAGAACATATCATATGATTACTATCAATATAATATAAATATGTTTTATATAACTGCAAGTTTGTACTGTTGATTTTTCATTGGACAAAAGTGAAGATTATATTATCTATATAACATGACTGCAGAAAATGTATGAATTCATTTATATCTTCATCAATGAAAAATGACTGTGAAGTAATATAACAGTAACTAGTTTTTGTTAAAAAGATGTTGGACATGTTATGTATAATGGACTGTTGTAGCAGTTCAGACTATGTAACCTTACTACTCTACACTGAACCATAAAACCAGTCAAAAGTTTATAACTAATAACATACAGGATAATCACACCCTATATTTTATACCAAATTAATAAACTGTACACTGTTCTAATCCTTAGCCAACCAACTACCTGCTGAATTTCTTTAACAGGCTTTTCAGGCTTCCTTTTTTGGAATTGTCAATTATCAATAGTATTAATAGCAGAATAAAAATCTTAAATTAGCCTGCCAACAGTATAGACCTGGAATGTCTGCGCCTGGAATGAAGAGCAGGCTTGACATGGGTCTATACTATTAGTAAAGGCCAATTACTTTCGGTTGCTGAAGGGAAGAATTAAAAATGAAATTACATCATGAATTTAAAGTAGTCAAGTATATAGAATAAATAAACATTGTAATTGTCCAATGAAAATGCTCAGTACCATATCATATGATAAATGCTATTTGTAATAAAATTTGCAATTGTTCAAAAAACAGAGAACCATACAGTTAGCATACAAGTAAAGTTAGATACTGACCATTGAGTTATCACATAAATTATCCTTTAAGTTTACCATGCTAAATATCTTAAGTGACCTTGTACGTCTTTCAATCTAAACAAAACTTTTAAATCTGGACAAAACTATTTATAAATTTTAGAAAAACTTCAAATTAAGATTTCACTGGTCAGCGAACATTACAGACAATGATTAAAAGGCACCAATTTTCAAGCTTATCTTGGCTGGAATTATCATATTGGTAGCTGCAGGCTTAAAGTTATATAAGGCATCAGGCCAAGGGCTATATTAAACTATTTTCATGGAAAACAGACATATTGAATGAACAGAGTATGTTATGACTCAATGCACAATATGAAACTATACATGTAGAAAGCTTATTCTATAATAAATGATATGCTTTTGCCATTACAGCATGATATAGGATCAGCAACATATCTTTATATGTATATATTATATATCTTTAATAATCAATTAAGCTGTAATTTAAACACTGTTTCAATTAAAATACTGTTTCAATCACATTTAAAATAAAAAAATTTTAACACATCAGAAAAGTAGACTATATATAAATGAGGGCAAAATATATGTAACCATTTTCCCAGTTGATCTCTTTTCCTTAAAGAAATTAAAAATAGATCTATGCTGTCACATAAACAGTTCATAGTACAAGCCTTTTGTGTGTATTTAAATGATACCAATTCAATATAAAATGTTATATTCCATTAAACAATGTATAATTAGTGTGTAGTTGACCCCAGTCTTAAATTTTAAGCAAAAAATTTGGGTGCTCTTACACTCACTTCTGAAGTAAGAAGTTTCTACACTATAATAAGTGTCTTATTTATCAATTTTTCAAAATATGGTAAGGAAGTATAGCTGATACATACATACATGTCTCAGTAGAAAAATGTAACAATACATAAAATAGAAGAAGATTATAGTTAATACATACACTTCTGTCTCTGGAGAACGTAATAACTTCATCATTTGTAGCACCTTGTAAACTGTTTATACTACTACTTCTACTACTGTTTGAGACACCACAGCTATTGCTATGTGTACTCTGCTCACTGACCAAACTGTTTGATTTACTGCTATCTGCCCCTTCATCCTATAAAAAACAGTATATTCATACACATATTATCTACCCGCTTGTTTACTACTAACAATTTGAAATGAAAACAAGAACGTGTTTGTTAAACACAAATGCCCCCGGCTCATATTCTTGTCAGTTTCAATATTTCAAAAAATGTTTATCCTTTCACTCAGTTATGGACAGAAAAATTGCCAAAAAATTGTAAACACAAGTTATATAGCTTGACAAAGTCATGGCATTTTGTAATTGTGAAAAATATAAGTTGCCAAGTCATTGCTCTGACTTGTGAAGTTGAAAAATATTCAACTCCATGCAAGTTATCTTCCTACCAAATATGAAATACATCTGTCATTAAATAAAGGCTGTATGGGCAAAAGTGTAAAAATCTATTTTGAGCACTGGTGACCTTGACCAAACTGACCCCTAACTCTATCCAAAGGAAGAATACCATGTAAGTTATCTTCCAACCAAATATGAAATACATCTGTCAATAAATAAAGGCTGTATGGGCAAAAGTGTAAAAATCTATTTTTAGCACAAGTGACCTTGACCCACTGATCCCTACCCCAATCAAAAGGATGAATACCATTTTTTAGTACTATTTTTAGTATTGGTGTAAAATCAAGTAGTTTAAATTTGACAAATTAGCATAAAGAAAAGAAAATAAGTTTAACTTTCTCTCATATACAAATGCTATTTATTAACATCACATTCATGTTGACTGTATTATTCTGATATTTCACATTTTTTATATTCAGCTTCAAGAATAAGTTTTTCTCTCACATACAAATGCTCTTCATTAACATGTGACTGCATTATTCTGATGAAACACATCTTTCAATTCTCCTTCAAGTTATCTATTAAAGGCTAAAACCAATTGTTCATTCACCTTTTATTTTACCCATATTTTAAAACAAACCTGTGAATTTTCAGCAGAGGAAAATTCCTCTGGACCGTTCAGACTTTGTTGATCTTCAGATGGTGTCTCGGCCATTAATATCTTCTTCATTCTACGATACTGTAAATTATCTAACTCCCGTACAGCGTCTTTTGTTCGCTGTATCAGGTCTAATATCACATTTTGTGCATCTGTCTGGTTTACAAATGGATGCTGAAAAAAAAATGTCCTGCTTTCATTTCTTTTCACTCATGTTATATCTTTTCTTCTAAATTTGTGTTATAAACAGATTCAAAATCAGAATTAAGGTTATGCAAATAAAGCTAAACAAAACTTATATCTCTGATGTTCCAATATTACTAGTTTGACTCCCTAAACTACTTCTCAATAAAACTACTAATATTTTATTATAGAATAGTACAGTTTTTCTTCCTAATAAAGAAATGTAACAAGAGCCCGGTTTGAGCCGGGTGATGCTCCCCGAATAGGTTTTGGACACAGGAAAGTATACCTCTTGACTAGCTTCAGAGTTCAAAGTGCAATAATTCCAAAATTAGGCAAGGCAGAGTTACTGTTCTTTGCACTGCACTTCTAACCAATGTGATCTATCAACCTACAAAGTTTCTTGATGATATCTCTTATGATTTCCAAGTAATGTCCCGGACAACTTCAAAAAGTAAAGATAAACAAAGGGCAATAACTCCAGAATTAGGCCTGGCAGAGTTATGATTCTTGTGCACTGCACATCTACCCATTGAGATGTATCTACCTACAAAGTGTCATGTTGATATCTCTTATACTTTTACAGCTATGTCCTGGACAAGATTTTTCTAAAAGGGGAGATAATTAAAAAATGAGGCTTAACAGAGTTATGGTTCTTTTGCACTGCACCTCTACTCAATGAGATCTATCTACCTACAATGTTTCATCTTGATATCTCTTACAGTTTTAGAGTTATGTTCCGGACAAAGTTCAAAGTGTTAAAATTAACAAAGGGCAATAACTCCAAAACTAAACAAAAAAGAGTTATTTGTCTTATGCACTGCACATCTACCCATTGAGATCTATTCACCCACAAAGTTTCATGTTGATATCTCTTATAGTTTTAGAGTTATGCCCCGGACAAGATTTTTCTATAAGGGGAGATAATTCAAAAACCGGGCAAAATAGAGTTATGGTTCTTTGACACTGCACTCCCCCTCAATGCCCTCTACCACTGTATGAAGTTTCAACAAATTATCTCCAAGGGTTTTCAAGTTATGCTCCGGACAAGACAACGGACGGACGGACAGACGGACAAGGCGCCGACTATATGCTCCCCCGAAATTTTTCGGGGAGCATAAAAAGAATATGAACTTTTATTAATAATAATACTTTCATAAGACTAACCTTAGTCAGGTAATGAAAACTTTCAAGTTTAACTTAAAATTTATTATTAACATCAAGCCAACAAAAAGTCAGTACATACCCTTAATAATTGTTCTGCGTTAGGTCTGTCGTCAGGATTTTTTGCTAAACAAGAATCTACAAAAGCTCTAAAATCATCAGACCATTCTCCACCAGCCAATGTTGGTGAGTCATTCTGCGCTATATGATACAATGCGCTCATTGCATTCATGTTAAAAAGTGGTGGTTTTCTCTCCGCTGCAGATAAACAAAATTAACTCTGAACAATTGCATGCAACAAAATTCAAATAAGATCTACATATTTTCATTTTCACAAATTTATCTATAGCAGAGAAAATTTTGTAATATTGTTTTCATACTGTTTATTTGAATGTCTAGGTAATTAATTAATGAAAAACAGTTTGTCAACATGTAATGCAACTCACAAAATTTGCAAAATTTATATATATTATGACCAGAAACAAGGTATATTCTGAATATATTCATCACTAATGCCTTATTCCGTAAGGTATTTAAATATAATTGAGTGCTTTAAAACTGTTAATACCGATGCCTAATTTAGTTATAACTTCTGAGCACACGCAAACTTTCTTACCTAATTCTATACACATAATGCCCAGTGACCAGACATCTGCTTTACCATCATACTGACCCTCATCCATGGCAAGTATCACCTCTGGGGCCATCCAATATGGCGTCCCCACGAAGGAATTGGCAGGACATGACAGTGATGCTGAACCAAAATCAGCTGAAAATAAAAAGCCACAATGCTGCAAAATCATAGAAATAGAATTACAAATATCTAACTAACTTAACATATAGGTCATCAAAGTCAGTTTTATACCGATTAAAATTTTACATGGGCTACCATATTCAACTTTCTAGATACAGAACTAAAAGTTACTTTATTTTTACAATAACTCAAATCAAATATTACACTGCTCATACAGAATTAAGTTATAAAACTGAGAAGAGGCCAGGAAAATGAGGAAATAATTAATTAAAATGACATATTAATCGCATAAGGTTATTATAAAACAAGTGTTCATACAGAAATTTGTAACAAGAGGGCCATGATGGCCCTGAAGTCGCTCACCTGTATATAGCCCCCCCCCCCACCCCTGGGCCAATTTTTACCCAAGGGCTTTTATTTGTTTATTTGAAACCCATAAGAAGATGTTTCATGCTAAACATCTAAGTTCTAGCTCATTGGGTTTTTTAAAAGAAGATTTTTAAAGTTTTTACCATACACATATAGTTAAAAACAATGACACCCCTGGGGCAGGGCCAGTTTTGACCCCCGGGCTTTTATTTGAACAAACTTTGTAGATATTTACTTAAAGATGTTTCATGCTTAATATCTAAACTCTAGCTATTTGGGTTTTTTCAAAGAAGATTTTTAAGTTTTTGCTATACACATATAAGGAAAATCAATGACCCCCCCCCCCCCGGGCGGGGCCAGTTTTGACCCCAGGGCTTTTATTTGAACATACTTGGTAGACACCCATTAAAACATGTTTCATGCTAAATATCTTAGCTCTAGCTCTTTGAGTTCTTTAAAAGAAGATTTTTTTAAGTTTTTACTATATGCATATAGGGAAAATCAATGACCCCCTGGGGCGGGGCCAATTTTGACCCCAGGGCTTGTATTTGAACAAACTTGGTAGACACTCATTAGAAGATGTTTCATGCTAAATATCTTAGCTCTAGCTCTTTGGGTTCTTTAAAAGAAGATTTTTTAAGTTTTTACTATATGGATATAGGGAAAATCTATGACCCCCTGGGGCGGGGTCAATTTTGACCCCAGGGCTTTTATTTGAACAAACTTGGTAGACATTCACTAGAAGATGTTTCATGCCAAATATCTAAGCTCTAGCTCTTATGGTTCTTTAAAAGAAGATTTTTTAAGATTTTAGTATATGCATATAGGGAAAATCAATGACCCCCCGGGGTGGGGCCAATTTTGACCACAGGGCTTTAATTTGAACAAACTTGGTAGACACTCACTAGAAGATGTTTCATGCTTAATATCTTAGCTCTAGCTCTTTGGGTTCTTTAAAAGAAGATTTTTTAAGTTTTTACTATATGCATATAGGGAAAATCAATGACCCCCTGGGGCGGGGCCAATTTTGACCCCAGGGCTTTTATTTGAACAAACTTGGTAGACATTCACTAGAAGATGTTTCATGCTTAATATCTAAGCTCTAGCTCTTACGGTTCTTTAAAAGAAGATTTTTAAGTTTTTACTATATGCATATAGGGAAAATCAATGACCCCCCGGGCGGGGCCAATTTTGACCCCAGGGCTTTTATTTGAACAAACTTGGTAGACACTCACTAGAAGATGTTTCATGCCAAATATCTTAGCTCTAGCTCTTTGGGTTCTTTAAAAGAAGATTTTTTAAGTTTTTACTATATGCATATAGGGAAAATCAATGACCCCCTGGGGCGGGGCCATTTTTGACCCCAGGGCTTTTATTTGAACAAACTTGGTAGACACTCACTAGAAGATGTTTCATGCCAAATATCTAAGCTCTAGCTCTTAGGGTTGTTTAAAAGAAGATATTTAAAGATTTTTCTTTTGGTTGCCATGGCAACCAGAGTTCTGCATGGAATTAAATTCTTTGAATAATTTTTAAAGGTGACCACCAAAGGAACATTCCTGTGAAGTTTGGATGAAATTGGCTCAGTGGTTTATGAGGAGATGTCATTTAAAGCAAAAGTTTACGGACGGACGACGGACGGACGACGGACGGACGGACGCCGGACGAAAAGCGATCACAAAAGCTCACCCTGTCACTTTGTGACAGGTGAGCTAAAAACAAATTCAATGATATTTCCAGAATCTCAAATAATTTTCGATGATACCCTAAGATGCAAAACAACAAATCAATGACAAACATTATCATATTTGATATATTATTTTTAACTTCTGTATTATTATAAAACCCCTGTCAATATCAAAGGCTGTAAAATAATGCAAAAAATAAAAATGAAAACGGAAAAATAAAATTAAAATAAACAAGAGGCCCAAGATGGCCCTGTATATAGGCCCTTGGGCCAAGGCCCATTTTAAACCAGGGGCTTTCATTTGCACAAACTTGGTAGACACCTAATAGAAGATGGTTCATGATAAACATCTAAGCTCTAGCTCTTTGGGGTTTTTATAAGATTTTTTAAAGTTTTTACTATATACATATAGGGAAAAACAATGACCCCCCCCCTCGGAGGGGCCAATAATTGACCCCAGGGCTTTTATTTGCACAAACTTTGGAGGCACTCACTAGAAGATATTTCATGATTAGTATCTAAACTCTAGCTCTTTGGGTTTTTTATAAGAATATTTTTTAAAATTTTACTATACACATTTAAGGAAAATCAATGACCCCCTGGGGCGGGGCCAATTTTAAACCAAGGTCCCTTATTTGAACAAACTTGGTAGACACCCATTAGAAGATGTTTCATGCTAAATATCATAGCTCTAGCTCTGATTTTTTAAAAGAAGATTTTTTAAGTTTTTACTATATATACATAAAGGGAAAAACAATGACTCCTGGGGCGGGGCCAATTTTTACCCAAGGGCTTTTATTTGAACAAACTTAGTAGACACACAGTAGAAAATGTGTCATGCAAAATATCTAAGCTCTAGCTATTTTGGTTTTTTAAAAAAGAATTTTTAAATTTTTACTATATACAAATAAGGAAAATCCATGAGCCCCTGGGGCCAATTTTTACCCCAGGGCTTTTATTTGAACAAACTTGGTAGACAGTCACTAGAGGATGTTTCATGCTTAAAATCTAAGCTCTAGCTATTTGGGTTTTTTTAAAAAAATCTAAGTTTTTTCTTTCTGTTGCCATGGCAACCAGAATTCTGCTTGGAATTAAATTCTTTGAACAATTTTTAAGGTTGACTACCAAAGAAACATTCCTGTGAAGTTTGGATGAAATTGGCTTAGCGGTTTATGAGGAGATGTTTTTTAAGTAAAATTTTATGGACGGATGCCGGACGAAAAGCGATCACAAAAGCTCACCATGTCACTTTGTGACAGGTGAGCTAAAAAACCCTTAAAAAATTGGTATTGATCAAATAACCTTTCATATATTTGCATGTATACCTAATTTAACAGTGCCATTTTCAGTAAGTAATATGTTTCCAGCTTTAACATCTCGATGTATCTTGTTTTGACTATGTAGATATACGAGACCTTGTAGTGCATCATGACATATCTGAGCTATCTCAACCTCCTTTAATGCCTTCTTATGCACTGAAAAAACAATGTTTATACTGTATTAGTAAAGACAATTCTTTGAAAGCAGCTTTATGCTCAACAATTGAAGATTTACTTTAACTAATTGTATGGCCGCGATTCAATTCATTGATTCACTTGATAAAATAAATATGATAAAGTTACCTTCAATAATATCCGATGCTGATCCTAAACAGTATTCCATAACAAGCTGAAATAAGAATGATACAATGAAATACATACACAACAAATGACATGAACTGAATAACTGGAGTTCATTAAGAATAAATGTTTTAAGAAATAGCTATGAATAGAACCATTCTACTACTGCAGAATGCACTTATTATCTTATATCAAAATAATATTGTAAATGGTAATCATTTATATTGTTAAAAAGGTCCTGTTACCCGACTCATCTAATTTCATCTGAAATGTCACATGAAGGCCAAGAAGCACCAGCTTTATAGTAATTGGAACGGAGAAGAGAATTATTTGTATCATGTATCTTAAACATGATAAGAACCTACCCACGCTGTATGCTCTCGAAGGTAACATCCCTTGTAATCAATGATATGTTTGTGTTTCAGTTGACGGAGAAACTTCACTTCTTTTATTATATCTTGCCATTTCTGTGGAATAAAAAAACAAACAAATGAAAAAATTTGCTATATTAATACAATTCATTAACACTGGATGTCCAAAGATCAAGGTACAGTATGGACAAGCAAGCCTGTATAAACTATTGTCCTTTAACTTAAAAGTATGACAAATTGTTCAGTCAAAGTATTTTAAACACAACAAGCCCACATATCAGAATTTCTCAATGTGTGAGCAAGTTACAGCCTTGACAAACAATAAAATAATACATTTTGACCATTGATCCCTTATTGTAACTTGATTATACTTATGAGCAAACATTTTCATTCTTCAATGTAACATATCATCTTGATGCACATGCATCCCTTAATCTTTACCTATATAAAGAATGTTACTACAGACAAACTTGTATGGATGTCCCAATACACATCAAATCAACATTGAGATAGCTTTTTACAACTCAAAGAAAAACATTTCAATTACCATAATATGTTCATAGATTAAATATCAAGGTTCATGAAAAGAACAATTTCAACTTGTAACCGACATGTTCACACACATCAGGGCATTTTCCAGCTATTTTGAGAAAAGAGCCCAGGTAACCTGCTTAATTTCTCTAATTGACTTGTCAAGCTTCCATTTCTGTCCATATCATGATAAAGATATAAGCTGACCTGGCTCAATACTGGTCAGTGGTGGCAAAGGATGATCATGTTTGATTCCAGTAGATTAAATGTTAATAAATTGTGAAATATCAAGTGGCATTTTGAGAAATTTGAAAAATATTGAAAAAGTGAAAAACTGTTTATGACCATATTTAAAAGTTAAAACAGTTTATTTTTGCTTGTTTTGCAACTTCTTTTTGTTCCCATGAGCATATTGCGAAAAATGGCCATTTACATTGAAAAGCCTCCTGTAACAAGTTCAAACTGCTATGAAACTATAAAAAATGCTTCAATACTGATGAAACTTGGCACAAATGTTGACTAGACCATAGCCTCTGTTAACAGCATGCTCAATCGTAAATTTCCTGTTACCATGGCAATGGGGGGAAGTCTCAAAATTGCCAATAATCACTATTTCGCATTGTTTTTTTTCCAAAAAAACATATTTCAAAGTGCTGCAACTTCTCAATGAATTGAGAAAAAGTGAAAGGCTTTTCAGCATTGTTTACTAGTTACCCTAAGATCGACCTCAGGCCATTTTTAGTCTGTCACATGTCCAAAATTTTCTTGGCGATGAGGGGGACTGCCGCCCCCTTCAAACCCCACAAACAGAAGGGGGCACATCCCCCTTCTGGCAACCCCTTGATGTAACATTTGGATGGGGGACGGCGCCAAAAAAGTGGTCACAATTTTTACAACATTTCTCAAACGAAAAACAGTGTTTGGGGCCTTTTTTAACTGTTTGAGGCCTCAAAAAGGGGGGGGGGGGGGGGCAAAATGCCGTCGAAACACGCTTATATAAGGGAATAGATTAATTGGGAGTCAAAAAAGTTATTTTTTTTATTGGGAATAGGGCCTCATATTGGCCCATAGTAACAGGATGTCATATTAAACATTCATTAATAAAGTCATGTATGTATCAATGGATTGAAACAATAAAAGCATTGCTGCAGTTAAATTTTAGCTTTACCTCTGCTGACTGCTTCCCACTGTATGACATTTTCTTAATGGCAACAATTTCCCTTGTAGCAGTGTTCTTAGCCTGAAAATAATAATGACATTTGCATTCTCTCCAACCAGTTTACTTTATGTTACTTCCAAAATGAGAGTTATGACATAAACATTAATGAAATGTTCCACAATTAATAAAAAAGATTTAAGAATCTGGAAATTCAACAAATATTGTTTCAGAAGAAGTTTTCAATGAACATTGACTCAACTATATGTACCAGTAAAAAAGAAATCTACATGTTTGGTTATTTAGTAACTTTTCATAAAATGCCACACTAACAATGAATTATCTAAAACAACCAAACAATTAATAACAGAAAATAAAATTCTTTGTCTTTTCCCTATACAACATTACCTTTAACTTAATCTAACAAAATATCTTGTAAGGTAAACAATTTATACACTTGATCAATACTCACAAAATAGACTGCCCCAAAGCTCCCATGACCAATCTCCCTGAGATCAACAAACAGCTTTTCTGGGTCGTCTGTTGAGAACAAGCCCGCCACCTCGGGATCTTTCAGGCTCCCTGGACGGGAGGGCATTTTGCTGGTTCAGTTGAGATCGTCTTCCAGGCAAACAGCTGTGAATTTTCTCTTTTTAATCATCTAAGAAATTATCTCCAACACCCTAACCCATGTAGAACTCCACCTTCAAGATTTCATTCTGAAATTATGCATTTACAATATTCTCAATCAAATAATTATAGTGTTCCTTACAAAAGAATAATAATATGTACCAAAGTTATATGGCATATACCTGTATAAATGTCATTTACAGACATTGAATAACAACTGAAATACATTGATCATCAGGGTTGCCATTTGGGTTGGGTTAAACGTTGCATAAACACTGTAAAGGTGCCATATGACTGTCATGTGACTGTCAACTTTCCAGTTTTACTGGATAAGGAAGACCTAAGGTGCCCTTAGAATAGAAGCATTATTTCAGGCAAAAGCAATAATTATTTACTAAAAAGATAAGTTAGGCTGCACATTACCAAAATTGATGAAGATGTGCCTATACAGCATTACAGGGTGAGATTTCCTTTAAATGTGTTAAAGAAATGTAAATAGATTGTCGGCTTTAGTGTTCTTCAATCAGATAACATAAAGCATTTTAGAAGATTATCAGCCAAGAATAGTCAATATTTTTTTTCCTTATATACCTGGTACCTAAATAAAGGACCAATTCACAATTTCAAAGCTTGTTCACAATTTCCAGAATGGGCCCAGTGCGCCTGTACCCATTCTCAATTCTGCAAAAAAAATCATGTGTACTAAATGAATTAAGCTTGTAAGTTCATCCTTTTTCCAGATTTTTTCTTTATAACAGTGATTAAAATCTCACTTTGACATTTGTTTTGTTGAATTATTAGATATTTATGTTACTGCCAATGTTGTAAATTCCTGAAACAGCAAAACTGTAATTATGCCAAACAGGGTTGGCAAAATATTGACTGCCTGGGAAAACCCAGGTTTTCCTGGGCTGGGTGGGCAATGCTCCCTAAACTGGGTAATATGATATTTTGTTGTTGTTGTTTTTCAAAGAATACTAAACATATTTACATTTATTCATAGGTAAAGTAAGCTTAAGGATAGCATTTCTGCATTTCATATACAAAAACAGTTCTGAACATCAACAACTACATGTATGTTGTGTTAAAGTGTATGCTTGTCATAAACAGGCTAAAGTACAGGATAAGTTCATCACTCTAACTCTTCCTTTCTTGTAGAAAACTAACTTGGCACATTTTTGAATTCCAAGTTTGTTTCTTTTTTTATTTCAAATAAGTGTAAAGTTTGAAAATATGTGCTGTATGGAAGCTGAAGTGGCAGGTATTCTTAAAACAGGGTTCATAGGTTTCATGTTTGATAGAGAATGAAAATTTCCAGTTACTCCAGAAAGTCCCCTTTTCTTGTTTGTTTGACTAAAGTAAACTTTTACTTGCTTTACTTGTAAAAACTTTTCACACACAGATTAGCTCAAATATAATTTAATATGTTAGGTATTTGCAGACTTCCCGAAAGTTGAAAAAAACTGTCAGACATTCGGTCTGACAAACCATGAAAATCTGCCGGACCGAAACAAAATCTGTCGGACCAAATAAAATTGATCAAAATCAAAGAAAAACTTGTGTTTGTATTTCTAAGACACTGTTTTTTATTTTTTCGCCGTAAAAATCGGCACAATCCGTACAGCGCATTTTCATCTCCTCCCTGTCATACACCAATGATTCATGGTTCTGCTTCCATTTTTCATTAAATTTTGTCTCAGGTCTATTCTTTTCATCCTTTTATTGCTGTTCTGCGCACTCTTCTGGCGTAGATTTTCGTTTTCCCCAGGTTTTGCACCTTTAGCGACGCCATTTTGTATACACATGCGGCTTGGATAAAAGCCGGACAGTCGGACCGATCCGGAATAAAAAATTGTCGGACCTGATCAAAATTTATCGGACATGTCCGTCGGACCGACGTATTTCGGGAAGTCTGTATTTGCTGGTACTATAGTCTATTATAAAGAATCATTATAGGTAATCCACCAATTTGAGCTTTAAGTAAGGTATATTGTTGCCTATACAAACAATTCTCAATTCAAGTTACTTGTTAACACCTTACTTTGTAAAGAAAATGCAAATTTAAATGCACTATATATATTCAAAACATGACATGTATAGTATTGTGCTGTATTACAAAAATTTATTACCCAGAAATGCCCAGTATCTCCCAGAAAAACCCAGGTTTTCCCAGTATTACCCGCTGGGCAGGACAATACTCATAAAACCCAGGTTTTTGCCAACCCTGAATTATTGCTAAACCAGGTTTTAATTTTATAAAACTTGCTGAATCAGTATTTTTTATAATTTCATACATTGTTGACAAAGATATTTTTTTAAAGCTGAAAAATTTCACAATTTAGCAAAGTACTGGACCCATTCACAACTGGGCAAATTTCTAGACCATACTCTAATCAAGTTGCAGTGCAAACAAATTTGATGCAAATAAAAGGTATCCCAGGTAAACAAAAAATGCCCTCAAAGAATGGTAAATTTCTTATAAGTGTGATTTTTTTTCTCACAGTACCAGACCCATTCACAATCCAGGGGAAAAAATAGCTGTCAGTGTTAAGGCTTTCTGTCAAAAGTTTGAATATTCCATATTCGAGACATGCTCATATCTATGATGAAAATCTTTATTCTTTAATAAAATTGGTCACAAGAGAAAATTTCTTTGTTACAATTCTACTGGGCGGAGACAATCAACCGGACATTTTTTGAACATTTTCCACATGGGTTTTAAAATTTTAAAGCGAGAGATAAAAAAATTTGACAGCTAGGTTCTTCTCCTAACTAACAAACTAGTTTGTTTATTTCTGATTATATTGACACTTATCATATCTGAGGCCCATTAAGGAGGGCATCAAAATTTCGTAAATTATCCACACTACAGTACCATGTGTCTGGACAAATATGTAATGACACTAATTTAATTCAGAGGATATTTTAATTTTCTTTTTTTAACATAATATACAATAATACAGCTGATTCAGGGCCGTGTACGTTATAGGGCTGAGCTGACCCTGTAGCCAAAAAAATCCAGAGCATGATCTGCCAAAAAAACACAAGAAATATAAAAAACTGCTTATTCCTTGGCATAAAGCTCACTGCAGGAATGTTAAATAAAACATAAATGTTTATACAACATTTCTGATAATGGCATTCATAAAAATAAAACCACTTTTCAAAATATTTACTTCTGCATAGTAAATATGAGAGAACTGTCAAATTTTTTATTGGAAGTGGCTAGCCGTACGGGCCCGTACGGCTAGCCAAAAGTTCTAGCCGTACGTGAGTCACGTACGACTAGTCAGGACACACTGTATTGGCTAGCCGTACGGCACTTTTCAAAAATATATGGAAGGCGAAAGTGCATATGTTAATTATGACTTTAAGCGAGGATTTTAGTCAAGAATGTTTACTTTTAGAGATTAATCGACGTGTTGGCTACAGTAAAGAATGTACGTACTTTGTCATCACAAGACGTCGAGAAAAAATAGCGTTTGGTTGCAGTTAAATAACATCAATTGAAATAGTTTACAAAATTTTGATAATAATCATTTTTTGTTTCATTAAGTTTAATTTTTAAATTGAAAAAAAAAACAACAAAAAAAACAAACAAACAAAAAAAACCACCGAAAATAATTGTTGTCGGGCTCTGATAATTGCGTCAAATACCGAAGGTATAGAGGTTTGTTCATCGTCCATCATTAAGGAAAGTTTGCATTATTAAATTATTTTTCCTTTTCACCGTTTTTTTAAATATTCTTTTTATTTATTCCCCTCCGATCATTATTTATTCGATCCCTGTGCTTAATTAACAGATTTAACAATTCATCTTTCATACAAATCATAAGCATGAAAATTAAGGACGTTATAACATGCAACTTTGACACTTAATTTTATTAAGATGGATTATACAACGCTAACTCGTATTCATTTTTTTTTTTGCAAAATTGCGGAGCATCTTTATTAAAGTGAACACACTAGGACAAATGCGGAGATTTGATTAAAATCGTCGTTTAAAGACACAAAATAACATATGCATTTTCGACTTCCATATAATTTTGAAAAGTGCCGTACGGCTAGCCAATACAGTGTGTCCAGGCTAGTCGTACGTGACTCACGTACGGCTAGAACTTTTGGCTAGCCGTACGGGCCCGTACGGCTAGCCAGTTCCTTTTTTATTTATCAATATTAAAATTAATTTAAACACTCTTAATTATAGCATTGCTGAACAGCTTACATCTATATCAATGACTTGCAAACAAACACCTGACTTAAAAATGCCATTAATTTGTGAACATAAAAAAAAATGAATTCCAAATCTTGACAGGAAGAAAATTGTTGAGCATCAGAGATTTCTTTGTGAAATTTTGAATGCATGCATGTTGCCATTTACATGAAAATCAGAATTAAAGTTCCTATTGTAAAGATTCTACCCTAAAGCTTACCATGCATTTGCAGAAGATAAGAAATTCGCATCAAATGTGTAGAAAATAACTGTCTTTTCAAACAAAACAATGAAAAATTCCTTTCCTCTTTTTTTCCAAGATGGCCGAATTTTTGACATGCGCTTTAGCGACCTTTAAATTTCTAAAAATAAAACTTATGATCGAATGTTGCACTTATTCATTTAAACAACAAATAGGGAAATTAACAGTTTATTTGGATGCAAATCCTTTACAAACATAAGCCTGAAAATATCTCCGTAAAGACAAATAATCTTCAGGAAGGTATCACATTACGTCACCGGAATAGAGCAGTACTGCAGTGAATCACAAACTTTACACTGATTGGCTTATTGTCTCTCGCGATCAACAGGCCAAGTAAAGTTGGGTTTACATAAAATAATTTTAAAGCCCCAAATTTAGAATTATTCTATTTAGTTTATATAGACTAATCTTGTTTGAAAATATAAAACAATGACAGACACTATTTGAGACGGTATATAAAACCTTAGAAAAATCAGAAAGAAAATTTTAAAACACTTAAATTACGAGTGGAACTTGATGAAATGTGTAGAATAAAAATCATCATATATAGCAACTAAATAATACGAAAAAGTATAATATACAGTCCATCCCGTCAGTATTTACAAATAATAATATATGCGTATGCTATTGGTATAATTCATATAAATTTGTCCATATTTTGTCTTAAAGAGATATTTTTCTGTGTAAAGGGCAAAAAAAAAAAATAAAAAAAAAAAAAATAAAAAAAAAATACTACGTGATTTGTCTTAAATTTAAATCAACAGCATTGTGGCATTGTGACATGTTTACAAACTTCAGATATATACTGTATATATTAATTAAGGCCAAATAAAAATTCATTGATGCATAGCGTCACATTTTGTTTAAGACGATCGATGTCCGGAATGATATAATGTTGTATATGTATACATGTATAGTACATGTAGTATCTTTGACCCATTATTACTCAATGCAAATTTAATTATTAATAAATGTGATATATCCGGAATAACATTTACAATATGTATATAAATGGTACGCCGGGCTGAAATGAGATACATATTTTGGTACAATTAACTGACAGTTTTTGACATGATAAATAAAGACATATTTTCGACCTATCACCAAATGATAAAATCACTCATGTGACACGAAAATACAATCCTCTTGAGTAAATAAATGATATTTACACATATTTCAAATTCCTTCATAAACTGGTGTGGCAATTTTGCGAAGTAAACACTCACTGATAAAAACATATGTATGGTTAAAATACAAAATATAACGTGGTTATAAGGTGAGAGGTTGCGAAATAAAGTTTTCATGTGAGATAAAACACACGACAAAAAATTATATTTGTAAGATTTTAAAAACCTATCCTGTCATAGATCTATCTAGTTGACGTGAGAAAAAAAAAAAAGATTGAAAAATGGTAGTTAAGATGTCTGCCTCTCAACCCAGGGTTCGAACTCTGCTTGAATCACAGCCGTGTTTTCCTCATAAATATGGCATCTATAATATTGAATAATGGATAACTTACCCGGCTGTGTACTCGGGCATATACATAGCTGTCAGTGGAACTGTACTTTAAACTAAATGGATTTTGTTCAAGATTTTCTACCCATTCATCTGGGCAATTAGAACAGTGGTGATATATGACTGCTTTGTATTGTTTCTCCCTATTTAGGAAGAATCTAGATTTGCTCATGGAATACTAGTTTATATAGATCTAAACTCGAAACTTTGATGAAAGGAAGGCTTTTACCCACTTATCAAAACGCCTGATCATAAAAATGGTTTTGCGATCTAAGCTCAGTTTCTTTTTCTAAATTATTATTATCATATTCAACAAATACGACGTGGACGTGTCAATCTTTTCATTTAAATACTATTAAATTGGAACGCCGAAGAACGCTACGATTGTCGTCAGTGCCCAGAGGCAGCAGCAATTGTCTACGTCACAACCGAAGAACCCGGTATGGGTGTATTTGAGTTTATTTATACTCACCATCGGTTGCTCAGTCCTCTAGAAGTGTATTAGTCATTTTAGATTTTGAAGGATAGTGCAAGATACAGAAAGATGCCCCAATTCCAGAAGCTTCTCCTGGTTCTTTAGCGTGCCATGTGTTTAAGCACACATACACGGGACCTCGATTTAAAGTCTCATCCAATAGAATGATTAGTAATTTTAGTTGGTCAGCCCGGGAATCGAACTCACAATGTCTACATTACAAGTATCGCGCTCTAACCGATTGACCTATGCGGGCTGGCCCACATCCCTTAGAGCTGTACTTGTCACTGGGACCTTTAATGCTAAAAGACATGCTTCAGTAGTTGCCCTCCCTCTGTCAACACCGTAGTCAGTCTACATTCGGGTAAGATATAGATTTAGCGGAACATTTTTGTAAAGTGACTGTCTTGGTCTACCTTCAATTTGGACTAAGTACAAATTATTCCTGTTTGGAATTCTGTCCATTTTATTTGGAAGAAGAAGAAACAAATTTATTTGGACTTAGCGGTCGTTTTAACACGTACAATACTATATCACTAAGGTAAGCCAAGCATTGCATGGAGAGTTCAAGTCCAACGAACAGCGCGGTCAACCTTTAAAGTATTTCACCGTCATTAACCTAGCTCTGTTAAACACAATAACGTAATATACATAATTATTATATATATGATTGTTGATGTACGGAATAATGATATGTGATAAAAAAAAAGTACAATATACCCCGACAAGCACAGTATTGGCTCTTTCAAAGCAAAACCAATGTAAGCAGGTACACTAAGTGCATGACCAGACGTTACGTTAAGTGGCCACTTAGTTGATATCTTTTACAAACCTGTCAAATATGACAAAAACAACAGCAAATGCAAATCCACTTCACCGTCCCTCGGTTCATTTTTTGACACGAATATTTAATTGTATGTGTCAGGAAAGGTCGTCGGTTAAACATTTATAACGTTGGTAAATTTGGTAAATTTGCAATACCTTCGATTATTACTAAAATCGTAACTAAAATCTTAAAGACAGACCAGCTTAACAAACATTTTTATCTATACAACTGTAACATGTAAAAAGCCATGATTTGAACTAATAAACGACAAAATGGTGACGGTAGAGCAGCATATAGTGTGAAAAAAAAAGTTTGTTCTTTTGCAACTTGTGAAAAGTGCACCGTCTTATCTGATTAACTAAAAGAAGAAATGTATCTACGGGTAAATGTGTCCAATGCGGAAAATCACATGACTATTTTGCCCTGTACCAAGGGGATCATACCATACGCGCGCATCCTGAAAATTCTGATACCGCGAACACTTTTTCAACCGGTATTTTGAACAATGTCAAGCAATCAGAATAGATTTGAATTTAGTATCTTTTGCAAAGAAGATGTCCTTACTTCTAGTTTTAATACACAAAGTCTTCCCTTTCTTGTCAGTATTTCGCATTTAATGCGATTTTTATTCTGGATAATGCGTACACCCGGCGTTTTTATTTTAATTATCTTTTTATCATTTGATTTTTTTTGTTCGCCAGTGTTATCCATTTGATCCCATTATGAACCTAGACTGCTTCGAAGAAAGTGTATGCAGAATCAATAACACATGTGTACACAGAATCTTGAATTTTTGAGAGTGTACGCAGTATCATAATGTCTATTTCCTGTAAAAAGTTCGTTTTAAGACATTTTTCGTACAGAGGAAAAATAACAAAGATTGAAAATATATTTTGTGAAATAGATTCTACAATAAACTTACTTCCAGTTATCTAACAGAATTATGTATAAATTTGATACTTGCATCTAAAATTGTTATCATTTTTAATCAAAATTATGGTAAAGGAAAGCTTTAACAGGACAAGGATCGTTAACGGCATAAATTGATTTCGGGGAGATGTAAAATTCACAGATAGTTTATAATTATTATTGTTTTAAAAGCTGCATGTCTCCAAATGAACTAAAATAGTTTTTTTTTTTTTGAGAAAATGTGCTATTATTATAAGAAAATATTCTAGTTATAATTTACATGTTATACTATTTCTAAGGGGAGGTCTTAAATTACCAATAACTAGCGTACAAAATTTCAGACTGTAAGTCGCTTATTCCTGATTACTGACTATAATCGAAAAAAAATACACTTAATTTATTTCTGAGTTTATTTTTAATTATCTTTTGCATATATTTCTGTTTTAAGAACACCAGGTGTCCAGTTTATTCTATAGCTGCCCACACAAAAACGACAATTCCTATTTTTACGAATTAGTTCATATCTTTTTCTTGACGGGAGTTCAATGTAATCAAAAGATTTCACGAATTGTATAAGAAGCATCTTCGTCAGTGTCCAGTATCCTATCTTAAGTAGTTATGATAGAAAGTTCACCGGTGAAAAAAAAAACAAATACAAAACACCCCCTTCAAAAAAGCACGTGCACACTCTCGAAAACACAAAACATTATGTAAGGGAAGTTATCGATACAAAAAATTATTTTAAGTATATCCGTGGTTGTCCTTCTTTCGACCTGCAAGCAAGAGCGTTTGTCACTAATCATTAATTGCACGGAGTCACCGGGTCGAATTGCATTTTGTAAAATAAATAATAACACAGTTGTAAATCTGTAAATGTAAACAAAATATACTAATGGGCAAGAGAAGAGAATCTACTAGGGAAAAGACCGAAAGAGATGGTATTATCGTTATGTCACAGACTTACTAGAAATCGTTAGATCAATTCATCTTCCGAAAGATTAACACTCAAAACTATTCGACCCATAAAATCGTATTTTACACGCTGGGGCGAGCAGTCTATATAAATGCACACTCAATGAATTAAGAGATAGAACCATTTATATATTTATAGATATGTATACAAAACAAAACATTTTTTTGGAATATCCCGCAACACGATTATGATAACTTGCGTTAACACAATTCCGCGCATACTGAATTTAAGTGTGTGACGTCACAGTGTCTTCTCCATCTTTATTTAGCTCCATGGGGGGTATAAGCCCTAATTATGTTTCAAGCTAAAGTTTGAATCTATATACTGGTCATCATTTATGTGCTATGAATAATCATTTTATAATTTTCAGTGCCACAAATTACTACAAAAATCGAAACAAACACAGATTATTTGTTTCCCTCTATGTTTGATGCTGTCCCGGATTCTGTGTGTTCACAGGTTGTGATATTGTCCTGTACCATCATGTGGTACTTGAAATAACCTGGATGTAATAAAAGATGGTATAGCCCTTGATATTCACTTGTTTAAACTAACTGTAGAAGCCTAGCCCATGTTCAAGTCTGTCAATTTTTTTATGTGCTTCAGTTCGGCAAATCAACATATTATGAAAACAAAAATGAGTATGGAATAGGGCGTAAATTCAGGATAAGCAAAAAATAAAAACACCTGAGTCCTAGGCTTGTAGAAGCCCTGCCTGTAAATGATGATAAATTGAAAACATGGGCATGCTGTGCAGACATAGGCACCATGCCCTCTTTTACATTGTACCTACTTGTTTTCTGTAAAAAGCAGGAGACCTTGAACGATATTCTGTTGATATTTGCTTTTTGCAACATAAAATATGCAAGATGCATTATTGACTTGAGTATTGTCAATATTGTATAGCAAATATTGTCTGAAATTTCCCCTACAACAGAAAACGATGTGAATAATCCTCACTTTACATTGTAGTGTTTGAAACATCATGGCTTTCTTGATTAATAAAGATATGAAGGTTTTACCTAAGTAAATACTTTATAATTTCAGAATCTCCAGAAAGTATCCATTCACCACCATCTCACAAAAAACATAAGAAGCATAAGAAAAAGCATAAGAAGAAAACAAATGATGAGACGGACAACAGCTCGGACATTGGTTCCCCTAAAGGTCCGCTTAAACTTAAATTAAAAATTGGTGCAGAAACCCTTGGGACAAAAAAGTAAGTTTGTCAGTTTACTCGATTTAATTTTCTTCTTGATAATAGACTGCAATATTCATGAGTTAAACACTTTAACAAAAACCGGAATACATATATAAAAAAGTTACACACTGAGAAATAATGGAATACATATATATATTTAAAAAAACAAAAACTTATTAAAGGTCCATTATGCCTCAGAAATGATTTTATTTATATTTTCAAAGTTGTTTTAATTTTGATGTACTTTTGTAATATCCAAAAAGTTACTCATTGGCCAATTACCTGAACAATCTTTTTCTTTTGTTGCATTTTGGCAATAAGTACAATTATAGTGAATTAGTATTTTGTGTTGAAGTCAAAATACTACTTTGTTACATTTTGCTAGAGTACTTTTATGACAAATTATTCTACATTTTATATGGCTACTGGAAAACCATTATTAAAACATTATAAATAAGTTTGCCCATTCTAAAAAAGATTTAAGAAGGCCTTTTCTAAAAAAGTGAAATAGTTATTTGTTTCTGAGGCTTATTGATTCTGCTGATAAGACTGAAAGAACTTAAAATTCATTAAATTTACAAACAGAATATTTACAGATGGACATTTATACGTTATTGTTTTTCTTCTCACATTTACAAATTTAATAAGCCACATAATTAAAAATGTCAGATGTTCATTGGTGAACATTTGTTTATTTAAACATTTTAAGAGACCTGTGTATCAACTATAAGTTGATTAGCTATTATTAAATATGACATATTATGGATGCCTACCAAACATTTGTCAAATACTATAATACACATATGATCTTTAAATTTTGTATTATGAAACATTAATATTTCAGTGTTGTGACAGTAACTTCAGAACAAGCAGATACAATTGTAAATGTAACAGATGATCAATGGGGTGAGCATTTCTATACTGTAGTGTATTTAAGCATTCCAAAAATCTAAAACATTAAATTTTATCATTTCTTAGCTAAAGGCTGCTCTCCATAGTTAAAAATTTCATCCTGCTAACTGGAGCTTTAACTATTTTTCCAAACATCTGAAATGCGATGACTAAAAAGGTTCTTCTTTGCATGTAATTATTTATATAAGTATGTGCAAAACAGGAAGATGAAAAGAGCACTACATAAATATAAAAGGTAGAAAATGAAATACAGATAGAAAATAGCAGAGTTACTTTATTTAGAAATGTCATAAATCTATTTTTAGAAACTTGGATATGTTCATAACCCTTAAAAGCTGTTACTTTACTTAAAAATATCTTTTTTTAGAACTAAAATATCATGACACAAAAGAACGATGTTACTATATTTAGAAATATCTTATCTATTTTTAGAAGTATAAGATCATAACCAAAAAAGAGCTGTTACTTTATTCAGAAATATCTATATTTAGTAGTCGAAGAACGATGTTACTATATTTAGAAATATCTTATCTATTTTAATAAGTATATGATCAAAACACAAAAGAGCTGTTACCTTAATTAGAAATATCTATCTTTTTTTAGTAGTAGAAGATCATGACCCTAAAGAATGATGTTACTATATTTAGAAATATCTTTTTTTAGAAGTAGATGAACGTGACCCAACTATAAAAACAAAGAAGCCTGGAGATGAGACGTCGGACGAGGAGAAAGAATGGTTGACAGCATTAGAGAAAGGAGAGTTAGATGATTATGGTGAAGTCAGCAAGGGAAAAAAAGATCCTACCTTAATGACAGCCAGACAGGTTTGTCGCAATTTGTTTAGCTTCAATGCTGCATGCCTCCTGAAGAGCCAAAATATTTCAAGAAAATCAAACTTGAGAAATATATTAAGATTTTGAGAAAAGTATATAGATTCAAGATAGAAGTAATAATTTGCATATTTTGTGTGATTAATTACTGATTTTGCAGTATTTATCACCATATCCACATTATCCAGTATTTATCGCCATATTTCTACTGCATGACTAATGCAGGAAGGGCTATTTTTGCATATTTTGACTGCTTTTTGGTAATTTATGTCGATTGTAAGTACTGTTTGCAATGTCTTAATTATTTACTTCAAAATTTTTAACTGTTGAGTACGTTTTCAAAATTTTCCTGAAAGTATTTAAAATTTAACAAGAAAACTTCATGCATTCTATATGCATTTTTCAGCGTGCATTGAAGCATGGTACTCAAGATCAAGAACTCTTGCAATTACCAACAGGTAAACTGTTACATCATATATTTTCATTATGTAAGGTTATACAGATATAAATGTTTATGAAACCTTAGAGGGGCTTTTGCCTTACCAATTTGCTTGATGGAGGGGGGCTTTTGTCCTACCTGTATTTTCGATTGGGGGGGGGGGCTTTTGTCCTACCTGTATTTTTGAGGGGGGGGGGGTTGTCCTACCTGTTTTTTTATGGGGGGGGGGGCTTTGTCCTACCTGTATATTTCATGGGGGAACTTTCTTTTGTCCACAACCACCATGTCATTTTTAGATGGGGGCTTTTGTCTGTATCCCCTGACCAATACAAATGTTTTTGGGTACTAAAATCCCTTATTATCAATCTGTCCAATATTTTATTCAGACCAGAGCAAGTTTATGGAGGAAAAATATATCATTTATGAGTGCATAAGCCATTTTTGTAGAATAATGCACAGATCGCTGTCATAATTATGTGCAGGAATGTAATCATGAAGGCTGGTAGCCCTAGATGATTAAATACAAAGCATTTGAATGATAAACTGTGCCAGTTAGAATATGCATATTTAACTGGCAACATTTCATGTTAAGCCATTACTTCACTCTCAAGAGATAATAGTTTTATTCCATAAATTATACTTCAGTTAAATGATTAAATGGCTAAAATGGTAATAACAAATGAGCCGCGTCATGACAAAACCAACATAATGGGTTTGCGACCAACATGGATCCAGACCAGCCTGCGCGTCCACACAGTCTGATCAGGATCCATGCTGTTCGCTATCAGTTTCTCTCCTTGTAAAAGAGTTGGTGAGCGAACAGCATGCTGGTCGCAAATGCATTACGTTGGTTTTGTCGTGACATGGCTCAAATTGACATTTCACTTTTAACTGGATGTTACTTAGTTTACTTTTTACAGTTATTTTAAGTTAGTAAGAAATAAACTGGTACTATTTTAAATGGAGCTGTAACTTACTTGATGTCATGGTAACAAATGATAATGACCTTATTTTGACAACAGAATGAAGTTTTGTCAGCATTCTTCCATCAATTTATGACCATTAATTTAAGTTAGCAAATTATGAAAACAAAATTTGTAATAAAAAATGTATGTATATTTAATATAATAGTAGAATATGAATTTGAAAATTAAATAATGATTTGACCTTTCTGTACCTAATATTCACACACTAACAACACAAATCACTCTGTTACTAAGGTTACAGACAAGTAGAGCTTACTGAAGAACAGCTGAAAAGACGTGAACAGAGAGCCAACAAACGTAAACAAATGGCCCAAGAAAAGAGAGAAAAAGATAAGGTAAAAACTACCCACTTCCCCTAAAACAACAATTAACACATATTTGGTCATGCCTTGTTCCAGCCTCTTTGGATAACTAACTATCTTGATGGTCAGTTCACCTAACTAGCTTCCTCAGAAAGCTGACCAGTCATTACAAATTTCTCCACAAGTGACCAGTTGCTAAGACCACATACACATGTAGCGTCTGAGTCAGTGTTGAGAGACCAGTGACATTAGGATTGATGTTTGAGATCATTTGTCATCAAAAGACGAATAATTTTGCCTTGCTCAAGGATTGCACCAATGACCCCTCGATTACAAATATAATGCTCTCCCTATTGAACGGATAGACAATGAAACAGAAATTAAGGGGTAAAAAGGAAAACCCATTTTGTATGTGAAAAAACAAAACAAAACAATAAATATGTCAAGGCAATCAGAAACAGTTTAAAATAGATTTGTGAATCATTGTAATGTACATTGATGTAGAGGTCAAGCCAGATGTAGAGGTCAAGCCGGAGACTTCTATTTCTTATTGGACTATCACAGTCCACAGCAGTGCTATAAGTGGTTAAAATACACAGGAAGCAGTTTTCTGGTGTAAACTATAATTTAAAGTACTGTGCCCAGGTCCCAAAAAAAAGGTGACTGACGTAAATGAAGTAACAAGAAGTGTAAGTGTAAAATGACTACACAATTATTGTTAAACACAATTATTGTTTCACATTATCAAAATGTAGTGTTCTCTAACTTGCTTGATATAATTATTTTTACAATGAGACAAGGCTGGTATTATTTACAGGATAATTTCAAATATATTGTGGTCTGTTCATTTTAATTCTAACATCACTTGCCCCTCACCGCTGTGGGTTCATATCCCGACAGGGACTTTGGATTCTTTCATGTGAGGAAGCTATCCAGCTAGTTTGAATGTCGGTGAAAGGCATACATGCCATAATGTCCTTGACGACAAAGGACAAGATGGTGAATAAAGAAAAAGGTGTGAGTTTTTTTAAGATGCAAGAAATCATTGTCCATTAAGAAATGTCATTACAAACATGCAGTAAGGGGTTTTTCTAGCTGAGTGGTTAAAGTTAATAAATTGCCCTTCATTGCTGCGGTTTAGAATCTGATCATGGAGATTGAATTGTTTCAGGTGAGGAAGCTATCCAGCTAGCTTATGGAAGGTCAATGGTTCGACTCAAGTGCTCACTTGTGCCTGAAATAATGCACAGAGTGGCACCCAATGTCTTTCTCCACCAGAATAACTAGAAAGTGACCATATGCATTGTCAGTCAGTGTGAGGAAACAAACAAACAAACAACATACAGTATAATAAATGACTGAATTACTTTTAAAACTGTAATTACACATACAAAGTACAAATTTTGGATTTTATGTTTTTATTTATTTATTGTTCATTCTATTTTCAGAGACAAACTATAGACAGACTTCTTAAAAAGCAAGAGAGTCGATTTAAAGGAAAGGTTGGTTCATATTCATAATTATATCTTCTACATAATTAGTATATTATAAGGGTACTTGTAATATTTTTGTAAATAAAGGATATGTTTTTATAATTTGTAGAATTGTAAAATCTGTAATTATTTCAAATTACAAAAATCGTGAAACATAGATGCCAGTTATACAGGTTATACATATATGTTTTACATATAGACAGTTTTAGTATTATTTCTAAACACATAATGTTTTTGTATTTTATTGCATACTTGATCAGTGTTCAACTTAAGCAAAGCTTAAGCAAAGCTTCACATACTGGGGAATATTTTGGGAAGAATTTTTAAATTAATTGAGTCTAAACAATTTAGATTATTTTATTATTTAGGGGAGAGGAGGTAGGAAAACAGATGCACCAAAAGTTACCTATGTCAACAATATATCAGGGATATCAGTGTCTGTGCCAGAGGGGATACAGTTTCCATTTGAACCTCAGAAGTCTGAGAAACCTCGTCCTAAACCAAAATGTGCAGTCAAAGGCTGCAAAAATGACAAGAAATATTCGTGTTCTAAAACAGGTACAGCATTATGTAGTCTCGAGTGTTACAAGAAAAATTTAAGTTTTCATAAATTGACTCCACCTTCTTTAGTGACAACTTGAAGGATTATAAACAATGTCTATGTAAAATTTAGGAGGAAGAACTTTGTTTTCGGAGGGATACGAACAACTTTTCATGACTTAGAAAATTGAAATCTGGCAGAGTGACACCACAAGGAATCTGGTACTAAGGCAGAGTGTAACATCAAAGTAACATGATTGTGACACCAAATTGTGTAATCAAATCTAAGAGACTATGTTGATATCTGATATGTGAATCAGTGTACCACAAAGTCTAAAGATGTTAATGAATTATTGCACCAGAAAATGCAGCATGTGACATTTAAAGTGTAATACAAAATCTTTTATGTTAATGTACTACGAAATGTATCATGTGAAATTTTAAGTGTACCACAAAGTCTAATGTGTTAAATGTCCTGTGAAATTAAAAATGCACCACAAAATATAATATGTGAATTAATGAACCACAAAACAAGACTTTCACACAGTTAGTTCTGAGGCCTGGGAGCATCCAAATATAATATGAATATGAAGCATAATATATCTCATCATACTCAATACAGAGATATAAGATATATATCACTGCTTCTGATTTGAATATAAACTGTGAAAACTCTTTTACTACTAGTATGTCAATATAATAAATAAATTATATTGTACAGTAATCCAGGTGTTGTTTTATTTGCATTAAACTATTTTCTATCGCTAGTAGTATATTGCCTTAGACTGGTGTCCTGTTGTCTGTTGTAATTTCAACTGTTGATATGTATTTTGAAAATAGATGCACTTGTTATATCTTTACTAACACTTTGTATTACATCTGGTTATTCCACCTTCAAGCTTTGTTAGATACTTGTTGAATTTACGTGTTTATTTTCAAATTTTTATTTTCAAATACATTTTACAAAATGCGTGAATAATAATGGCCAAGGTCACATAATCTTACATAGGTTAAGGAAATTACATATATATACATGTTGTCAGACACTACTAAGTTCAATGCCCAAACATGTTGTTGCATTACATTGTGGTTCTCTTAAAAATAATATATATTCATAATGCTCCTGGAGACCTTTACATTGACTGGTATCAGAATGTTAGTCTGAAACATGTAGCATTATCTAAAGAAAGAATGGGTAAGAAATGTACCGCCTCAAGGTCACTTCATAACACAGAGTTGTATAAGAAAGTTTAAGTATAATGCTCACCTCAAAACCTTCAAGTACTACAGATTATTTGACATGTAGTGTTGTCAAGTGGTCATGTACAAAAGCTACATAAATTATAGCCCTTGAATTAAAATTGGGACCACTCTGGAGCAATGCAGGACCAATGAAGGGTCACCATGGTCCTTGTGTTTTCTGTCCTTATCCTGAGATATTTTACATTTTTACATCATAAACATTTTAAATTTAATTTATCATGTGTCATTAACCGGTGATATTTCATCCTGATCGTCAGTTTTATCTTGTTCAGATATTCCAACTTCTTTATTAAACTTCTTAACATGTAGTAACTCTTCACCATTGTCAATTTCTATTGTGATGTCATCATGATTTCTAGCCCATGGTTGTAAGAACACATCAGAACATATTAGGAAGGCGATTGTACCTATAACGTTGATACCAGCTGATAGAAAGAATACACGCTGCCATTCTTCTTGTAAACCCTGTAATTAGAAAACAAAATGCTATTATGTTACATTTGTTCCTAGTGGTCCATTGAAAGATATCTTAACGCTTTATTAAACTTATTCTTATACGTTCACTAAGCAAGTGCATTTTGTATTTACAAATTTTACATTATATTGATAATTTTTTGCTGGAACCATTCTGTCTTTCTGTAAACAATTATTGGTAAGATTGTTTACAAATGTTCATTATTTACTTGTCTCTTATTTGGAGGCTATACACTATTGTAGGAGTCTACACATTCTTACAGTTCACACTTATCACTTGCATACAAGTATTATATTTACACTTTGATCTATTAGAATACATGTAAAATGTAATCGTTCTATTTTCTACCTTAACAGTTGCTATGTAATCTATAAAAACCAGGTACGTATATTAACGGTATCCGCAACTCTATACAGTAAATCAATAACGGTAAATTATGCTGTCGTGGTAGATAATCCATCCAGACTGCCGATCGTTATTGATTTTTATCGACGATTACATATCATTAAGCGCGTGTGATATTTTGACCTTGGTTATTTAAATTACCGTTTCAACATGTTATTTTCTGTTCAATTTTTTTTAAAAGTAACATATTCTAGAAAGCTGAAAAGATATTATTATTAAATCATGAGCGATTTAGTATTGAAGAAAATTACGACGAGTTAAACAACAGATGTTTTTTTTTTTTGTCTTCTCGATTTTATTGTCAAAAACGATTCAGTTAAAAATAATGATGCCCTCTTCGAACAAATATAAGATTTTTTTTCGTAATTTATGGTCCGGAATTTAGCCAGAATACCTATCAAAAGAAAGCTGAGGAATTTGATCTTTTTTAACCGTGTAATTATCATTTACAAAGCTAAATTATTTCCGTGAATTGTAACGAGTAAAAACGCAACTTTTACTACCTGACCAAATCGCAACTGCACACGAAAGGAAATTTTTATATACATGTATGAACAAGTTATTATTGTTTCGTCATTTTTTTTGCCCGAAATTTGATTGAAAAAATTTATTTATAAAAAAGCTTAATAAACTGTAGTTAATTTTTTTTTGTTTTCAATTTCTATTATCTTAAATAATGCGAATAAGATTCCGTGAAGAATCACATGACCAAAATCATCTTGCATGTTTCGAACGCCAACTTTTACCATTAATTTTAACTTATTAAGCCCTTATATTTTTTTTATTTGAACATTGTTTAAGAATGAAGTTATCTATCTATCTTATTTTTAAAATTGAATAAAAGTATGATTATATAATTTTCAAACTGCCCACCAGAAAAGAGCCTCTTATAAAAATGTTCGTTTTCTCAAGGTACGTATATTTTTCTGAAAAACGGCCTAAACATTTTTTGTTATGAAAGTATTGTGAAAATAAGGTACAATTGTACCGTCATAATTGATGTTTTCATGCAGATTCAGTAATTGATTTAATCACGGTTATTAATGTGCATCTATTTAATGTTCAATTGTGATAGTTTTCACACTTTTTCTATCAGTCGTGTCCTGTTTGGAAACTGTTTTTTAGTGGGTAAGGCTAGATTATTACTATATCCAGTTAATTGTTTGTTAATTTATTTAACATATTTTCTGTGTTGCTTTATACAATTATATGAGCCAAACTGTTTCACCACTACATATGTCAGTATCTTTTCAGGTTCTCTTGAATGAACGTACATTTTTCGAGAGAATAGACATTAAGGTTATTGGAATAGTAGTATCAGGCTACCTGCGTAGTAAAAAAAAGAAATAAAAAGGAAAAACACATTTATATTAAGTTTTGCCTTTTATTTTATAAACTGGATTTCATAAACTTTCAATAGCATCGCACTGGCCCTATAAAATGACTGTTTTATAGTGTTTTCATTTAGTGTCACTTTATTCCCGAAATTTATTTGACCACTTCTCTGCGGACTCTCCTGGCACAAGCCTGCCAAATCTTTTGAACTTTTTGGGCTGTATCAGGCATTCATTAAAATTGTCGTGCTGATCTACACTTGAAACCCTTGAAGCCACATTTGTTACGTCTGAAATAGAGACAATGTGACATTTATATAAATATTTTGTTTTTTATTCAAACAGAATAACCATGTACTAATGTTAATATACGTACCTGGAATAAACTAACAAAAAAGAGTTGAATATAACTTCTGAGTAAATGAAAAAAAAAAAATGGGGGAAATTCGATCAATTTTCAAAAGACCATAGCATTCAAAAATATTCAGTTTGAAAAATTAGTAAATAAATACACACCCCATTCACAATTAATGTAGTAACTTAACTTTTAAACTTTCATTTTGTTATTTTCAAGGTCTTTAGATACCTCTGATGTTTGGGCCAATATAGGTCGGTGAATTTATTTTTGCCACCGCAAAAAATTTACAAATTTCCTTCAAATTTCACGCCACAAAAACAACAGATCAGATGATGAGGGAGCCTTAAAAGTACCAACATTACTTACTTTAATATATTCTAAACCGATTTGTGCAAGTTTAATCAGTTTTCTACAAGTAGGTTAAGCCTGATAACTCTGCAGATTTTATACATGTTAATATACGTACCTGATAAAAACTTACATTCGGAGTCAGAACTCCAGCCATTATTGAGGCTACAATTGACGCAACAACTCCTCCGGCGTTTGTTATACCAAAAGCTGTTCCTGCAAACCTAAAATAGAACACATTTTAAGATCAAAGAATAATTGGAACACTTGGTAAAACCGGTTGATTGACTCAGTAAATTGATATGAAGCTTGTTCAGCAGACATGTGGCAGTATAATATGTTTAGGTAGAACTTGTTTTGTATTGTAATGTTACACTGTATCAGACACACACGTTGGTGTTCAGAAGGTCAATTGCTCGTATTAAGTATTAAATAAATTCCATGTTTATATTTTTAATTTTTGAAAATTATGTAACCAATAAAAATTTTACGTTTTCACATCTTTGAAACGTAACATGTATGGGATTTAAATCTCGAAGTTCGTTACGAAATCCTTCCAAGCTGAGCTAAATCAGTATGATAACATTTTACCTTTAGTACAATATTAACACTCATTTTTAAAAGGAAATTGTTATGATTTTCAATCTTATTTTTTTCTACACGTTAGATTGATATTATTATTTTTATTACAACAGCGTATGTAATTACAACTTCCTAACATTAGAATAACATCATCCTAAGCGTGTCATTGTACAGCACGCGACTACACCCCCATGCCAGATGAAATTTTCGCTAACGAAAACGCTAGTCTGATATGCAAGATAATTTTAAGGAGTGTTGGTAGCGTGAGGGATTTTGCATTTCCATTATCTCATGAACAGACTCAATGAAAACAGTGTCTGCGATTTTCAATTGTTTAGTTTTTGTTTTCAATGCACTCACTGTCCAGCGTATTCCGGATGATTTGTTAAGAACCCTCCATATGCAAAACCTGCGAATGTGCAGGCAAGACAGAGAAGTATCACAGCAATATAGCGGACCTGACATGAGACATAGCCGGCACTTACGAGACAAGTTGCCATTCCTAATTGACCTGAAAACAATAATAGTCTTTAAGAATAACTGACCAGATCAATTATAATGTTTGTAGATGTCATTACTTTAAAATCGTTTGAAGGGTATAAAAAAGGGAAGAAACCCTCTCGCATTATTAATATAAATGATGTAATAAGATTATGAAATTGTCTTCTTCCAACTTAATTAAAATGTAAAAAACTAAGTTTGTTCTAATTTAAACAACCGGTGTTAAAAGACGAGTTTAGATGAATGGCATAGAATTGCATGTATAGAATTATATAGAATTGTAGGGATGCAAATAAGAATGAAGTTATAAACTTGGCTCACATGCTGTACTAAACAATCGTCTTGTAGCCAGATGGCCAATCAGTTTTCTTTTGATGATGATCCCTGACAACTTCCCACATGCTAATGATGAAATAATAATGAAAATAAACGGCAATGCTGAATACAGACCATTCTGAAATATAAAGTAATAGTGCTTGGTTCCAATATTTGTGACGTTTAGTCATCGATATCTTCCTCAATTTGCCTTACACCCCGGAAAATTATTGATGTCAATATTTTCAGGTTTTAAAATAACACCATAATCTGCTGAATATTTGTACATTTATAAAACTTAACTTAGCTTAAGGTCTTCAGCGTAAACGCGTTTATATAGTGAGACATGGCATGAACCCGTAGGGAAAGTCCCCCAATAATCGTGATATGAATCTGATACGCTCCTATTCATTCATTGTGAATGCCATGTGATGAGGCGAGGCATATCCCGAGAAAATTATGTATAATCTGTTGAGAAGCCAAATAATAACATATCAAAAACTTATTACGAACATAAACTACCTAATAATTTCCGATTTGTTAATTTACCGAATAATGTCCAAGAATTAATTGGAAAATGGTATTTGCAAATGAAAACCATGGTTTTAAATCAACGTGTTATTCTAGTTATGCTTCCGGACAGGTCTGATCCAAAACTTTAATGCCGCATCAGATGAAAAACGTTAAAAGGCGGCTTATAAAGTTTTGGAAGCCAGAACTAAACTTTATCCTGCTTTGAATTTAGAAAAGTCCATTTGAAATTAAAGGTTTTCAATGTAACACTAGAAAATTTGACATGCAATTAACAAAATAAAGCGGAGTATGACAGCAAGAATGTATAGGCTAGTAACTTTCTGGTCCAGGACAGTAAGGGTTAAATATCACTGAAGCCATGGTTACAGACTGCCAAAGAGATGTCGACCCTTGATATGCTTTGTTATTTTTTAGGCTTTTTTATGTTCTTGATTTCGGATTTTACTCGATCCGGTGTTTTAAAAAAAATAATGGTGTATTCAACATGTTAGTACGAGAAGGAGCAGTCACTAAAAATTTTATAACAAAGCAATAAATTTTGTCCATTTAACCATTACTGAGAAACATTGATTCAGTTTATTTTTACACATTTTTCACTTAAAAGTTCTATACATTCTTGAGCAAGTGAAAAAATGGCATATTTCGTTAATATCCTTGTTTTGTAAAGATCAAATAAGCACCGATAAGACTAGAAGCTGGTCATCGCAACCCAATTGAATTCAAATTTGATACGACAATGGCGGAGTTGACCGATTTCATACAAATTATTATCATTATTAAATACATGTATCTCACCGATGTAACATCAAACTTGAGCACTTCTTTTAGGAACAATGGTATGTTGATAAGTATGGTGAAGAAACTCCAGTTGAAAGAAAAATGTGCAATAAATGTTGCCCAAAGTGGTTTCGCTAGTAGCAGACGTTTCCATGGAATTTTTGGTCGTTGATTCTGTAAAATAACATTAAAATCTTATAAAATGTTAGGAAAATAATTTAAATTCAATATTCTTATCCTGGTTGTGGGTGTTAGTATTTAAATGTTTAATTGAAATTAATTCGTATTGATAAGAAAAAGAAACTACCAAAACAAGCAACATAATTAGCGTTTCCAACGGATGTGACAGAAAATCTAAAAGAGAACAGTGTGACAGTTTTCTATTCAGTGATAGTACTTTCTTTTTTTTATAACTTTTGTAATAGTGTTATATGACGAAATTTAAAATATGACCAGAATTATCAAGCCGAATGCCTTTTAACATGTTTAATTTTAATCAACTAAATTGAATTCAAAAATGTCTTAAAACATAATGAAACGGTAATGGTCAGTCTTAAAGGAACTCCACAGAGGCCCAAAAGCCTAAAATCATAAAATATGAGTTCCTTACAGAGATCATCTAAGGCACTTAAAACAGAAAAAGTATACATAAGATAATTAATAAATGAGCTGCGTCACGACAAAAGCAACATAATGGGTTTGCGACCAGCATGGACCCAGACCAGCCTGCGCAGTCTGCTCAGGATCCTTGCTGTTCGCTATCAGTTTCATTACTTGTTATAGGGTTTGTAGGCGAACAGCATGGATCCTGATCAGTCAGCGCGAATGCGCAGGATGGTCTGGATTCATGCTGGTCGCAAACGCATTATGTTGCTTTTGTCGTGACGCGGTTCAAATGTATTCGGATTTAAATCGTATTTTTATGCCCCCACAATGTGGGAGCATATAGCGTTGCACTTGTCCGTCCGTCCGTGTCCGTCCGTCCGTGTCCGTCCGTACGTCCCGAAATCTTGTGAACGCAACTCCTCTTAAACCGGATGGCAGATTTTGCTTAAACTTACAGGGATTAACAACCCTAATGTGTAGATGGTAGTAAAGGAAGGAATTTTCGCTGCGACCAAATTTAACAGAATTATGGCCCTTTGTTGATTTTTTTACTAGATACTATGTAGAAATTTTGTGAACGCAACTCCTCTTAAACCGGATGGCAGATTTTGCTTAAACTTACAGGGATGAACAACCTTAATGTGTAGATGGTAGTAAATGAAGGAATTTTCGCTGCGAACAAATTTAACAGAATTATGGCCCTTTGTTGATTTTTTTTCACTATATACTATGTAGCAATTTTGTGAACGGCAACTCCTCTTAAACCGGATGGCAGAATTTTGCTTAAACTTACAGGGAATGAACAACCTTTAAGGTGTAGATGGTAGTGAAGGAAGGAAATTTTCGCTGCGACCAAAATTTTACAGAAATTATGGCCCTTTGTTGATTTTTTCACTATATACTATGTAGAAAATTTTGTGAATGCAACTCCTCTTTTAAACCGGGATGGCAGATTTTGCTTAAACTTACAGGGACGAACAACCTTAAGGTGTAGATGGTAGTAAAAGGAAGGAATTTCGCTGCGACAAAATTTTACAGAATTATGGCCCTTTGTTGATTTCTTCACTATATACTATGTTAGAATTTTGTGAATGCAACTCCTCTTAAACCAGATGGCAGATTTTGCTTAAAACTTCCAGGAATGAACAACCTTAATATGTAGATGGTAGTAAAGGAAGGAATTTTTGCTGCAACCAAACTTTAACAGAATTTATGGCACTTTGTTGATTTTTTCATTATATACTATATAGAAATTTTGTGAACGCAAACTCCTCTTAAACCGGATGGCAGATTTTGCTTAAACTTCCAGGGATTAACAACCTTAATGTGTAGATCGTAGTAAAGGAAGGATTTTTTGCTGCGACCAAATTTAACAGAATTATGGCCCTTTGTTGATTTTTAGTTTTCAACTTGTGGCACATGTAGTCCAAAAAATATTTGACCTAGAGTCATAAGATTGACAGAACAGTGGCGTGTGGGGGCATCAGTTTCTGGACACATTTCTAGTTTTGCTATTCTTCGCCTGATTTGAGTGAAAAGCGCTGCAACGCTTTTCAATTTTTGGGTAAATTTTACAATAAGAATAATTATTCTGAAGAAAAAAAGTGGTCGAATGATCTGCAATTTTGCACGCACATAATTGGTCAAGACCTACATCAAATGGAACATTATTCTCGGAAAAAATAAGTTCAGTCCTGTACGTCATGTCAAGAAACCTCAGTGGAGCCCCCTTTAATATAATCAAATAAATGTGATTTCAAAAAGTAGGACAACAAATGATTTACTGTTGTCACGTGTCTTTTAGATGATTCTATATACTCCAGTTCTTTGACAGAAATTCTAGGATGATGTGAAGGCAGACTGTAACCTTCGAAAATCCACAAACATGTAAATAGCCCAGTTATGCACCCTACAATGGTAAAGTGATAGAACAACATTATATCAAAGCCATATCAAGATTTGTAGCTTCTTAACAAATGCAAATGTACTTTGGACGATTGTCTAAATACTCAAATATTTTATTGCAACGGCAACAGTTTAATTAAATATTTTGATTAAAATCGAATGCATTGCATGAAAATAGGTAAAAAATCGCATACAATACGGATAAAAATATTATCAAATATCCTTAAATATCTAAGAGAACATTCTCATATTACTAATCATAATGTATTTTGTCCAGGTTTATGCATTGTTCATACTTCATTCTCAGTCATAATTGTTATGTTACAAGAAATGTTGTATTTTTTTGTTACCTAGCAACCATTTATATAAGTAAGATTATACCGTGTATATAAAAAATAGATCCCCAACCGTTATCGAACCCGTACACGCACAGAAGGCCCGATGTTAGAAATGTAACAATGGTTCCCGTAAACGCACCTAGAAAATACAAAAGAAATGAATACATGTATAAACAACCATTTAGTCCTTTTGATTTCTTTTTTTTACGATTTTGTTTTTTATAAAAGTAGCACACCCGTCAAAACATTAATAATGGGCAATATTAACCATAATGTATGTATCCGAATTAAGTTCAATAAACTGTTTCAACGGCTCCTGAAATGATGATAATAAAAATCATACAGATGAATGCAATTAGAAACAGTATAGTAATTATGAAGACTCGAACATTTGTCATCCTACCTGAAGCGCTGACAGCTATCATGAGTGGCTGTTCGTTGGGTGTACCCCAAGAATATATCATTGACATACCAGCTGGAACAACGGAACCCTGAAAGCAAAATATGGATCTTTGTAACATTGTCTGTTTAATGCCAAAACTTAACCATTTATCTGCAGGAGCCGCTAGTCCTGACAAAAGCCGAGGGGAGTGGCCCTATAATGTGACAAAGACGACGAGGAAGGTCTTTTCACAGCTAACCTTCTTCATTATTGTCACTGGTTACTGTATGTTTAGATCCTCACAGACCGCTGTAGAGTGACCTTCTTTCGGATAATCTTCTCTGGAAACTGAGGTAAATTATCCCTTTATACTTAAAAATATAAAAATAAAACTATTAGGGACATGACTGGTGACATGTTTGGGATCCGTACTCGACAACAAAAGCTCAACGGGCGAATTGACTTTCATTAAGTATAGACCTCATACATAGACTACATACATACCTCTAATAAGAAGCCTTTGGCACCAGTATAAAGCCATGCTAGCACAACAGTGCAGTCTGGCCATGCTCTATACTTGATGGCTCCTTTTTTAGTATTTTGATAATGAAATCATCCTTAATTCTTTGAACAGACAGTTCTAAATTCAACTCGGGTAAAAAAATCTATTACACAAATTCAGCATGTTAATGGGTACTATACGACATAAAATTGGTAAGTTGAAATCAGACATATAGATTGTTATTTAGCACAAATTGATTGTATTGAATAAGATCCATAATTGCACGTCTTATAAAATCGAACTGTAAGCGGATGCCGTTCGAATTGATACTGATTGACTAAAAGATTTTAATTTCATACAAAAATTACGATATGTGACGCATCCAACAAAAAGTGGCATCGAGGTTATAATGTAGAACCGCTAATAACAACACAAAATTGAAGTAATAGTGCCTATCTATGTAATTTTTTTGTGAGTACCTTATTTGAAAATGTGAAAATGGAAAGTTCGGTATTTAACTTGCAAAAGCTCTTCGTCAAACGCGTCACAACTACATACTTACCCCTGCGAGACCAACACTAATCCTTATAACAAACACTAGTGCAAGGCTGGTTCTTGCACAAATTGGTGTCAACAATGAACATATTGTGCTTATCAACATGGCCGCCGTTATCACGTGCTTCCCGCCAAATGTGTCTGATATGTATCCGGATAAAATTTGTGTAAAAAACGAGCCATAGAAATACGACGATAGTAGTATGGATATTTCTGACTTCTTCCAATGGATCTCTGGTGACCATTCCTAGTGTAAAAATTGAGAACCTTAATTAGAACTGCACATAAACCATTGCATAATTTAAAACCTTTTACTTTCAACTATTGTGAAAAGATAACTTTTCTGGAAAATAATTATATAACTATGGCAAATGTAACAAATTTATAGTTAATAGTCCAGACCTCATCTCATAAAAAAAATCCGTAAATCCTTACCACTTTGTCTTTAGATACAATAGCGCCACATTCAGTATCAATCACATTGAGAGAGGAGTTGTCTTTCTTTACCAGGAACGTAAAGTTATTACCTCGGCTATTCTTTGGGGACACTTCTTCAGAAATATGAGTCCATGGTCTGGTTCCACTGTGTTCACCCTTTAACGCCGTTGTTTCTTCAAGTGTGGTGTCTACCATGCACACCACTGCAAGACTTAAATTTACGCGGTGTGTATACAGCAGTGTGAAACATAGAAAAATATAAGCAGCCATACTCCATCGTGTTGAACAAAGGGCTGTATAAGGATCTGCAGAGAAATATGATACAAGCAGTTGTCTTACATCTGGTGATATTTATCAGAAGCGTTCTAGGTTGCGTTTGATGGAAAGTCCTTTGTCTAAAATTAGTTTTTAGACCAAAAGTGAGACAGTTTTTTGTTTCAAAGAAAATGTAAAAAAATATGACTCCTATTTAAATGCTTGTTCAATTTCTTAATAGTCATGAAGATAAGCATGAACAGATTGTTGGTTGAAGCATGTGCCATTGTATCTATTTATTTTCCTATGGGGGTAGAAAATTATCAAAATTCCAAGTCTTTGACTTAAGCTCAAAATATTTATTGGAACGGTTTTAAATTAGTCCTATAGTTGTTCGTACGTTCTAGGACTTAGGATACACCTAGGACTTTCTAGGAAACGCCGCCCTGAACTTATAAGATGTTTGAAACTAGGGACGTTAATTAATATAACTTAATAAAACTATAATTTTGACTTCTGCACACCAACAAAAGTCAAAGTAAGCAAATACATAGAATCTGAGATTTAACAACATAATACCATATCGCTATTTGAATTAATAATCGTTAATCACCTTTGTATTTGACTTGTGACGGCGTCTCTTCATTTGCATACAATTTATCTGCTTCATTGGCTTCTCCAGCCATCGTCTGCAACAGAAAAATATATAAACAATATATTGTAAAAAAAGAATACAAATAATTTTCTTTGGTGTAACTTATCTCAAAACAAGAGGCAAAATGATGCTTCTTTATCCAACAAAACAAAAAGGCAATAACAGTAGTACGATTTCAGCTGACATAAAATTACTACATGTACTTGTGTATGTCATTTTTGCAAATTAACTTAGAAGAGTAAAAAAAGTATATGTCTAGAAATTATTTTTTCTGTTTTAAACGGGACAAAGTTCAATGTTTCTTGCTTTCAGTCTATAAATAATAAGAAATCAACTTATATAAATCGCTATAGATAAAGCAAGATAAACAGCTTGTATAAAAAAGATGCGATGCATACACTAAAATACATTCATTCCGTGTTCGTTCAATGAAGATTGCGACACAATGCAAATATCTTTGTAAACTGAGTTCGAAGCACGTGTTGTAATGCAAACATATGTAAACACAGGCGTGATACAGAAATGCACGGTGTTTGAAGCACGTGTACCGCTTAGAATAAAATAAAGAAAGCATGAATATCTCACGATGCGTCCTAGGTCATATGATTTATTATTAAGTTCAACAGAAGTGCCTGTTAGAGATAATGTACAGAGACAGTCATATTGAACAATTGGATAAATAACACAAATGTATCTTGTTAAACCTTTCACCTGTTGAATTCATTTATTTTACTTATTTTTTCCAGCTCCAATTATCATTTTTTGGGCACATTATGCATTTCCTTTTAGTTAGGGCAATCAGTAGCTTTATAACATTTAAAAAATGGGTTTAAAGCTTGTTAAAAGTACATGTATCACCTGCGCAAAGTAGCGCTGAAAGTGAATTCATTTGTTATAAAAGTAGCAAAGTGTAAACAAAGTAGTATTTTGACTTCCATACAAAATACTTAATTTCTAAATCTATGAAAATAGCCAAAGATAACAGTGACAAAAGATGGTTCAGGTGATTGGCCAATAGGTAACTTTGCAGAAACTATAACAGGAGACCAAAATACAAAGTTTGTCAAAAGTAAAAATAAAAGCATGCGGAAACAATAACAGGAGACCAAAATACAAAGTTTGTCAAAAGTAAAAATAAAAGCATTGCTGAGGCATAATGCATGGGAGCCAGCCAACAGTTCTGTATATAGAGCCTGGTCATATTGTACGGTTGTGTATTCTGGCATGGCTCTATACTGAAGGAAAAGGCTTATCACTTTCGGTTCCAGTAGGATAAATATTAAGAACTAAAATGTTTTGAGTGGTAAGATGTGTCCGCACGTAAAAATTAGACTGCATAATATGCAAAGTGTATTTTATATTAAGACTATCGCACGGTTATCAGCCTTTATCAGTTTTGAAGGAATATTTCATTACATAAAACAGTTATCTTATAGTCTTGGAATGAATTGTGAGTTCATAAAACTATGTCAGCTGATGAAGTTGAGACTCTTTACAAGTTTGTTATATAATTTAATTATATATTTTTGCGCACCAAAGTTTTATTTGTATAGAAAAACACGCAAACATAAAGTGGGGAACGCTAAATGAGTTCGTAATTGATTAAAGGCAACATTAAAAAATCACTTACAAAAATCATCTTCTCATCTTAAATCTAAGTCATATTTTTTTAAAAACGTGTTGTAACTTTTTAAACAATATAAATGCAAAGTGTATTTATTTAGTACTATCTAAAATTGATCGTATTTTGTCTAAAAATGTATATAAGTAATTATTTTTCTTTTCTTTATATTTACGATTTTATGCTTGTAGCATTCAGTTTATAGTTATTATCAAATTATTTGCTCAGTTAAACGTATACTAAACGCACTATAAATGCTTTTGCAAGATTCACTAAGTTCATTTTAGATTCACTTATAGTTCTGATTTCCATAACTTTATATGCCGCTTTTATTTTGACGTTATGCGACAGGTCTAGCAGTACTATAAAACCTGTTCTAGCTAATTCACTTAAAGTGTTATAAATCAAAGATTCACTGACTATGTACTTATTTGCGCTTTCAATTTCGTTTCAATTTGAGATGCACTCAAATCTCAATCTTGCAATCAATTTGAAATTCATTATCAATGTTGTTATCAATTTAAGATGTACTGTAAACGTTGTTATCAGTTAAGATGAACATTTAATGTTGTTATCAATTTAAGATGCACATTCAAAATGTTATAATTTAAAGATTCATTATTAATTTTTCTTATCAATTTAAAATTCATTTTCAATGACATTGTTATCAACCAATGTTGCTATCAATTCAAGATGTGTCGTAAATTTTGTTATCAATTTTATGATGCCCAATGGTTGATATAAAATGGTTTAAACGAGATATTAATAATAGCAAAAGTAAACGTTATAAGCTTGTAAACACGTTGTTTAATATTGATACAGTTTTTAACACTGGAAAACTGATTTCTAATTTGATTATTAGTAAGATAACAAATGCTTTCTAGAGTGATGTTTTAAAAGATTGTATAGAGTTTGTAGATTAACTTGGTACAAGTATTACATATTCCACGTTTTTACAATCACAATTTTTAGCAGAAAATAGATGTATTTACATTCAGGCATTGTATAATAATGGAATCAGATTTTTTAAAGAAATTCTAAATATACAGGGAAATTTTGAAGATTTGATACATTTACAAACGGTTTAACCTGTGAATATTTTACAATATCATAGTTAAAAACAGGCAATAAAATTGTACATGCAAGAAGTTTAATATTTTGATAAATAACAATTTGATTAACGTTCAATACCGTAAATTATCAGTTATTTTCTGTCTTAAGATACATTAAAAACAATGTGAACATTGAAAATATCATCAATACATAACATTTCATTAATTTTATCGCCGTTTTAGTTAGGCCTAACGAAATGTATCAAAGCTGTTTGGGAATCACCAGAATAAGGCTGCATATAATGTAATCGATTGGTTCGCATTTCGCGAGTTATATTTAGAAAAAAGGTAATATAGGAAAATCCTATAACGTGAATAAATACTACACTTCTTCAACAACTCGTGTAAACACAATTAATGTATTTAATGTCCTGCTTTTTTCAAACAATGTTTAAGAGGTTGTACATGTTGATATAAAATGTGATCATAATAAAGATGGAAATATTTTTTGAATACGTAAATGGCTTTATATCGAGTACAAAGGTTTGTCTCTTTTCTTTTGTATAATGTCAAGGTCATTTAAACTCTTAATGATCGAGGACATTAGCATTGTATACAATTTATGTTCCGTGTACACGTGAGCGTTAAATTTGAAGAATTTGTCAGCTGAATATATATAATCAATATAATCATCGTACAATGTAAAAATCACCCCGAGACGGCTGTGATATCTGATACATTGTAATTTCAGAAATACATACATGTACAATTACATTTCTGTAGTCTATAAATAGTGTAAAATACTTAGATTATAAATATTATCTTACATTAAACATACTGTGAAATAACTTTAACTTACATGAGTCGAGTCCGTCGGAAACGTTCAACAAACAAGTAATCTTTTGTGTATATAGATTGTAGTGTTAACTACTCTAGTTTATTGATAAAACATGTGTACAATATTCAAATGACATTTAGTATGTTTAAATATATCCAGGTATATACAGATATAAAATGGGATGTAGATGGCACATAAAATTATGTGATATTTTTTTGTGTATTAAAACAAATCGAATTTTATTTTTCATGATTTTAGAATGAAATTAATATGTATAGAAGTTATTGTTTGTATGTGAGTAATTATAAAAAAAGTTTACTAGTTATTTTGTATATAGATTCATATTAATTTACGGACACATTAACTATTTTAGATTTTACTTAACATTAATTTTAAAATTGTCCTCATCATCTCAATAATAATTTTTATATCGGAATTTTTATGTGACATTTATCCCATATATACATGTAAATGTTAGTATCAATTATATATAATTTATCACATGTAAGTATATAATATTTGCATCATTTCAATAAAAGATTATCATATTGCATTTTTACAAGGGTCGTTCGAAAAGAGAGTTGTCATAAATCTTAATTGATCATTATTGGCGACGCCGGTGAGCGGCGTCGTCTATTATGGAACGCTTTTTATTTTTGCCTATGGAAGGAGCTGTTATTATTAGCAGTTAATTTCATGTTGTGTAAATTAGTTTTATTTTGATTCGTAAAAATCAAGTAAACAAATGTGTTGTTATATTTGTATTTAATAACTTTATGTAAAAAGCATGTGCATTGTGATATTATTTTCACGAAATTGCGGGTTAAGTTTAACAGCTTGTCCCTTAGTTTTAATTTACAATACTAAAACCCGGATTTCGAATATCGTTGTGGTCTAGATTGAGGCCGTATCATTTATACATTTTCAAAATTTTCCTACAAGAAGAAAGTTCACCTGCAATTGAGTATAAGGATAGGTAATGGAACTGTTGTAAACGATTATCCTATTGATTTTATCCTTATTACATTTATCTGTTGCGCAGAATGGTTGTTTTTACAAAGTGTACCAGTATCCGGATGTTGAAAGTTATCCGATTTTCTGCAATTACTGCTGACACATGGCCATCTATTTTTTTATGAATACTTTACCATTAATTTGCATGGCTTGATAAAATTGAACCTGCAACATTTCATAATTTTGCTGTTTATCGTGTTCTTTTGGGTTTCAGGTTTTCTTTATTTTAAGGGGAAGTAACTTATGTTTTACTAAATTATTTGTTCTTTTCTGTCTATCTTAGGTATTACTTATAATACTATTTTTGTTGTATATAATTCACCAGTTGTAAGGTCATCAAAAGCATGTTAATGTTAGGATTTCATATTTATTTAATATAAACTGGGAATTATTAATGTTATGTGCATGTACATGTATATCTTAGACAGTAGTATATTGATATGTAATTGAGACTTATAATTTTTCTGCATTTAAAGAGATACAGTTATGTCATTATTATTAAAGGGATGAGACTTTAAAGTTATAAATGATAAAACATGTATTGATTGAAAATGTCCTTAAACTTGGATCAAGCAATATAATTAATAAAGTCTCAAAAAATCATATTCTGAATAGTTATTCTATTTTTTTTCTAACATGTGCATAGTTTGAAAAGGACAGCTTCTCTCTTATCTATTTGTAATGAAGAGACACCGGTCTCAACCTCCAGATCTCCTGAGTCAACGCGACAACAGACTGTACATAGAGTAGATTGTTACTTGCCCTTGAATAAATTTGTGCACTAAATTTATAGTGGGTGATTTGTGCCACATGAAAACCAACATAGTACAAAAAGTAACTGGGCGCCAGATGAAAATGAAAACATGAAAATACAATCTACCACTAGTGGTTTGTTTGTTGCATTTTCATGTTTTTGCCCGGTGCCCTTGATGCAAAATACAAATCAGCCTTCATAAAATTTCTTATGTTGGTCACAGGTTAATGAGTTTCTGGTCAAGCTCAAAGTTTTTCTCATCCTATGACTGCATATAAGCATGAGTTCAATTTCCTATGCTCTGTAACATAAGAAATTCACGAACACAAATCGATATAGTGGGGAAATATGTTGTGGTTTAGAACTGTTTCATTATTAAAGAGAAAATGTGTAGCAGGACGGATAGCTCAGTTGGTCTTCTGAAAGTCATGGGTTTGAGTCATGGTCAGGCAGTTTCAGTCAGGGTTTAGAAGTGGTTTTTCAATTGACACATGTTTGATTCATTTAACAGATTGCATTATTTGAAATGGACAAAGGCAGTATTGCATGATACTTTTAGATCTACAAAGGGCATTTGATACAGTTGAACACACTATCCTGCACATGAAGAAGTTGTTTTTCTTCTTCTTCATGAAACTTCAAGCATCTGCCATATATAATGACATTCTTACATGGTTTAAGTCTTATCTCTGATAGTAGCTGGTTGATGTGGCTGGTACTTATTCTACTACTGCTCTGAGTACCTATGCTGTCCCCCTGATGTTCATTTTAGGTCCTCTTTTATGTCTTATATATGTCAATTACATGTCTTCAACCCTAAGCAATAAGCTTTTATTATAATGCACAGGCACGAGTATCAGACCTTGGATGAAAAAATATGGCCAGATTGATAAAAAACCTGTGTTCATCTTAAAAGTGTCAACAACCAAAATAAAATGTAAATAATGACCCCTTTAAAAATATACTTCAAGTTGATAGTATATTTTTAAAGGGGATCATTATTTACATTTTTTGTTTTGGTTTTTATAAACACAGTTTTTTTTATCAATCTGGTCATCTGGTCATATTTTTTCTTCCCAGGTCCGATACTCGTGCCAGTGATTATATGCTGATGACTCAGGAATCCTTGTGTCTCATAAATTAAATCTGAAGAAATTCTTTCTTATAACATGAGTCTTATAAGATTGCTTAATTGACTATAAATTGCCTTTGCATCTTGGCAAGACAAAGTCTATTCTTTTTTGGTTTAAGTTTCAACTTAACCTGGCCCTAGCCTCCAGGTCACATGTAATGGTACTGCTATAAAGTACACATCTTTTGTTAAGTATTTAGGTGCAAATCTGGATCAAATTCTTTTGGCGTCGCCCTTTGATGCTTTGCATCAATGCTTTTCTTGTTTCAGATTTGTACTAATCAGCATGCTTGCAATATCGTATAACTTTATAACCTATACATTTGTGTGTGTACAAGATACCGTGTAATGAACATTAAAGTTTATATTTGATATGGCAGTTGCGTAACAGGAATATTTATGCACGAAGTAATAGAAAGAGCACCGAAACACGAAGCTATCTGATTTGTACGAGGGGGCGTAGCCCCCGAGTATAAATCAGATTGCCGAGTGTTTTGGTGTTCTTTCTCTTTTGTATCATAGTCAAACATAAAAACACGTTCCCTGTTGTCACAATATGAAACCCCGGCAAAAATGAACCAATGAACGAACATCTAAAATGATATTTCTGTCGCATTCCCTTTCTCTGCCGTCACAATATGTAAACCCCAGCAAAAATGAGCCAATCAATGGGAATGCTCTGGAGTGCGGGTAACTAATAGTGCGGGTAACTAATACCCGCACTCCAGTTAACGCACTGTGCATGTATATGTATACGATTTAACCCTGACACATTTTCAACAGAAAGGTCTCCAAACTATGATACAATTGTCATTTATATGCCAACCTGTACTGAGAAATTAGTGTAAATATGTAATATTGATGTAAACTTTTTTTTATATTTATGCATATAAAGTACGTTAAAACTCTCAAAAAGTAAAATATATAATCATACAATGTATATTATGATATTGTTGCGAGGTTAGTTGTGTACTTCATACTTTAATTTAATGATGCTCCAATGGTTCTGGTTTCTTCTGATCGTTAAATCTTTTACTTTCAAATTAAAAAAAAATTTGGATGTATAGTGGCGTGGTAGTTGCAGCAGCCGTTTTGTTTTATCCTTTACAAACTTTTTTTGTAGCGATTCTCCAATATATTGTTTTTGTTGTCATTCCTTTGGAAGGATATTTTTTATATTGTTATTGTATGCACAGATAATTTGCATTTTAGGGACTAACTAGCTATGAGTGAGGAGCCTAAAGAAACCGACACTCTCGAAGCAAATGGTGAAATACCTCTCAAAGTTAAATACAAAGGTAATGGTTTTATATAAATTGTTGAATGTTAATCTAAAAGACCCATTATGCCGCAGAAATGCTATTATTTTTATTTTTAAAAAAACTTTCTACTTTTGGTATTTTGTTTCAGTTTACAAAAATACACATTTGCCACCTCGATGAACTATCTTATACTTTTTTGCTCAGTTGGCAACGGTTATAATCAAAGTTGAATGAGTATTTTGTATGGAAGACAAAACATTACTTTTAACATTTTGCTACATTTATGTATAACATTTACGAAATTTATTATTATTTGAAATAAAGTATTATATCTTTACCCATACTTTAAAGGAGTTCAGTAAAATATTATTTTTCGGAAATACAACGTAAGTCACAACTGTTTTATTTACAGATCCTAACACTTTCCTTTGCTCAACAAGATGGCGTATGGTTGCATATATATTTCTCAGTTTTGCCCTGTTGTATGTGCACCGGGTTAACCTCAGTCTTGCCATCGTTTGTATGGTAGATACCACCCACACAGATACCCCAGTGACACATATTAACAACAGTGAAACTGTTACTAATTATAGTTACAGTCAATATGTTAACAGTTCTGATCGATTAACATCTAATGTTTCTAAAGACATAAATGTTACATTCACTGTTGAGAATGATGTACTGACTGGAGAAGATTCCATTTCTAAGTGTGGAAATGTTAAAACAAATGAGAACAAGGTAATAATGAATCGGAAACTATCAACATGTTATAATTAAGGGACGCTTTTAGAAAGTGATATTTCGGTAGATGCCTTGTTTACAATTTGACTATTTGAAAATTCAATTTAAACAGAATACAAAAATGTATATATACATGTATGCTATAACTGAAGAACCTCAAGAAATCGAAAACATCGAAGCAAATCGTCAAGGGGCGAGACATGTTTTTAGAAGAAGTGATGTTGTTAGATACATATATTAAAGATACAGACATCACTATGTAATGATATTGTTATTACTCTTTAATAAAACGAGGAAAATGAGTTTTTTAAGTTTAAAATATTGATTACAAATATATGTTTGAAATTAAAAACACATATTTTATTTTGTCCTAGTATAAAGTATAAACTTGCACTGATATATGACTGACTTGTATGTGATAATATAAGACATCTTTAAGTAGATACAACAGTCATCAAAAAACCTTATTTTATTTTTAAGTTATTTTATGATGAGTTTTAGGAATGGATACCCGAAATTTACTGGGACAAGAAAGAAATTTCCATCCTTCTGTCTTCTTACTTCTACGGATCTTTCTTCACTCAAATTCCCGCCGGAACCATATCTGATATTTTTGGCGGGAAACACGTCATCACATTGGCCATGCTGTTGAGCACATTGTGTAGTCTGCTTACACCGATTTGTGCACGGACCAGTATTATACTAATGTTTGTCGTCAGGATAACAGTTGGCCTTGCTGGCGTAAGTTTCTTTGTCATTCCCACGTGTCCATTTAGTCCATTGTAGTAATATGCCTATCTCTGGAAAATAATCTTTTCATTAGCTATTATTGCTAACTGTTCAAACTCCGAGATGTAATTAATTTGGTGAAAGATAACAAATAAGCTATTTGCAAATGTGAAACCATGTACTACAATAACAAATAACAGAAATACAGAAAACTTAAATGCCAATGTTTTTATTATTGTTATGATATGAACGTTATTCACATGTCGTCATTAATAACACTAAAACATTGTTACTCTAACAACATTTTACCAGGGTTCAGTTATTCCAGCGGGAATGTCAATGGTGAATTCTTGGGCCACGCCCGCCGAGCGACCTCTAATGATAGCAGTTTGCGCTTCAGGTAAATTTTGTTATTTTTTTGTCTTTTGGTAAGACAGGTTTATCTTTCACTGATATTGCAGAGCGAAATCTGTAAGTGTTTTAATCTTCTTTAATGAAGAGACTTTGTAACTCTCTTTGTTTTCAGACAAAAGTTGTATTTTCCAATCGTTGCTTTTAAGTTACAAATTAAGCAATGTTTACTTTATTGACATGTCTTTTTTCAGGTCTTCTGACAGGTGCAATTGTAACTTTTCTAACATCAGGCTTACTTTGCGCATATGGATTTGACAACGGCTGGGCTTCTATTTTCTATATACACGGTATTTTTACCACTCTTTTTCTCAAACCCGTCTATAACTCGGAGTGTCTGAGTTATTGTATCCAGGATGATAATACATCAGATACTTCCTTGATTACATATACCAGAAAATATTGTTTTACATGTATTCATATAAATATTTAAATGTTCTAAAAAGTGTAACATATGACAAGCATACTATACCCGTACTGTCCAAGGCTGCTCACTTGGTGCACTCAGGATGCAATACAGCTTTGCATTAATCAATGGCGTTTATAGGATGAATTGGTACATTTTTTAAAGTAAAGCTCATGGGATCAAACTTGTCTGGCGTTCTTTATATAAAAAAACAGCCTCTTTCAAGATTTTCAGATGATGGGCCTGTCTGAAATCTGCGTTAGGTTTTGAGCTGTAATAATACATAATCAAACAATCAAAGTTACCAAACAGAGTTTCTTGCAATATGAAATTATCTCGATATGATGCATTTGTATTTACTACAAAAATCCCTGTAAATAAATTAAAATGTAGCATGCATGTTAAGAGATATAATTTAATGATACATATAACGTTTATCCTTACACTATGTCGTTGCTATTACAGGCTGTATTACTGGGCTATTTACTTTGTTGTGGATTTTCGAAGGTTACAGTCTACCTTCACATCATCCTAGAATTTCTGATAAAGAATTAGATTACATAGAATCATCTAGAATCCATTCCACAAGTGTATGCAGATATATTTTGATTTATTCTTATTTTCGATGACGAAATTAGTAATTGTTAGTAAAATAGTAATAATTATATGTATTTCAAACGATTTGATAAAGACGAAAAAGCTGATATAGAGCTTATCTTTTGTGTTTCGTTTTGCCATTTTCTGCTTGTGACAATAGTGTTATATATTGGTGAATTAAAGTAAAATGATTGATATGAAATATATAATATCAGCAAAATTATTTAGAATATAATTTCTAATTTGTAAGATGTTTATTTATCACGCTGTTTTGCCATGCTTTGTAAACAGAAGATTAATTTGTTTTGTAGATGTTGTTAGAAGCATGAAATTTCGTATCAGATCGTTATTGTAAGTTTAGATAAATTTAAATTGCAGACAAAACGTCCGACAACTCCGTGGAAAAGTTTGTTGCAATCTAAACCTCTATGGGCAACATTCATCGCACATTTTTGTTTCAATTGGAGCTTCTTTACAGTCCTCATCAATGTGCCATTGTTTCTGAAAGAAGTACTGAAATTTAACATTAAGTCGGTAAGAACTAGAAGTGCCTGTTTCTGAAAAAGCGTTAAATCTTGACATTTAACCGGTTAAAACTAAATATGCCTTTGAATTAATAGTTTGTCATGAAAGCAGCAAAGAACTAAAATGCCATTGTCTCTTAAATAAATAGTCAAGTTTGGTATTAAATCTATAATGATTATTCACACTGTAGGTACTGAACAAATGAATAGAAACGAATGAAAAGTCGACCCATCTGTACATACATATATGATCGCATTATTATTTACATACAAATTATATATATATTTTCAAATGTTCTTTGAATTTAAACAGTAGGGTGTTCGTGGCCAAGTGGTGAAGGTCGTTGAGTACACCGACCCTCGCCGCATTTGGTTCGAATCCCAATGTTCGTGCCTGAAATAAACGGAAGGGAACATAAGGTATTCCTGAAGAGCTGGAAACTTGCCATATAACCTTTAGTGTGTTGGTGCGACGGAAACTTGAACAAACACACAGTGAATATTGAAGCGCTTGAAACGGAACATCATTGTTTCATATATGCATATATTTTCTTTATAATTTTTTGAAATTACAATTATAATGTATTATATTGATGAGATTGTGTTTATATAAGCAATTATATTGACATTCTTGGAGACGGTTATTTGCGTCGTATGTTACCATGAAATTGTCCATTCATTGCAAGTTTTAAAAAGGTGTACATATTGCCTTGAAAATATAGTTTTCGTTTATGTTACATTGATATGTGTACCTTTTTCACAGTAATATACGTCTCTATTTAAATAATGTTATTTTATTTCAGAATGGTTTATACTCAGCCATGCCATTTATATTCCAAATCATATCATCAATTCTGTGCGGAAAACTTTCAGGAGTTATCATAAAAAAGAATCCTTCATTGCACTTGATTACAAGGCGATTATTTACATCTGTTAGTAAGTAGCGTTTTAAATGTCCAAATGAGAATCAAATTCAGTATCACATAATAATATATGTTAGTAAAGATTTAAACAATATCTTTATAATCAATATAAATTCATGTAGTAATGTGTTTCAGGTAATTCAAACACCTTATAATGTGCAAGGTAAATATATTTTAATGGACTAAACCAATCAGTGACCTCATATACATCTAGAGATTTAAGCTAATTAACATTTTACCTCTTATAAACGTGTTTTGACGGCTTTTCACTCCCCTTTTGTGGTCTCAAATAGTGAAACAAAAGGCCCTATTTAGGCCACAAACATTGTTTTCTTATCAAAAAGATACATCATGGGGTAGCCAGAGGGGGGGGGGGGTAGCCCCCTTCCTACGTCAAGACAATTAGACTTGTGAGAGGCTAAAAATGGCCTCAGGTCGATCATAAGTTAACGTGTAACCAATGCTGAAAAGCCTTTTACTCTATCTAAATCTATTGAGAAGTTGCAGCACTTTTAAATCGGTTTTGATGGAAAAAAACTACGCAAAATAATAGTGATTTATTTTTATGGTAATTTTGAGACGTTCCCCCGTTGCCATGGTAACAGGAATTTTAGATTGAGCATGCTGTACAAAGGCTATGGCACAGTTAACAATTGTGCCAAGTTTGATCAGTACGACAATGTCCTCAAGGTGAGCTTTTGTGATGGCCTATTGTCCGTCTTCCATTGTCCGTCCGTCAACAATTTCTTTAAACAACTTCTCCTCATGAACCACATGGCCAAATTTGTTGAAACTTTGCAGGGATATTTCTTGCATGAAGTTCTACCAAAGTTGTTCAAAGAATTAAACTCCATGAAGAACTCTGGTTGTCATGGCAACCGAAATATTTTTTTCCAAAAATCTTAAAAAATATTTTCTTGTAAAATACCGAAAGAGCTAGAGCTTAGATATTTGGCATGACACATCTTCTAGTGGATGTCTACCAAGTTTGTTCAAATAAAAGCCGTAGGGTCAAATTGGCCCCGCCCCGGGGGTCATTGATTTTCCTTATATGTATAATATTATAATGAAAACTTAAAAAAAATCCTGTAAAACAACGAAAGAGCTAGAGCTTAAATATTTAGCATGAAGCATCTTGTAGTAAGTGTCTACCAAGATTATTCAAATAAAAGCCGTAGGGTGAAAATTGGCCCCGCCCCGGGTGTCATTGATTTTCCTTATATGTATATAGTACGTAAATACTGAATAAAAAATATAGTAAAAACCTGAAAGAGCTAGAGCTTAGATATTTGGCATGAAACATCTTCTAGTGGGTGTCTACCAAGTTTGTTCAAATAGAAGCCATAGCTCGAAAATTGGCCCCGCCCGGGGGTCATTGATTTTCTTTATATATATATTGTAAAAACTTAAAAAATCTTCTTGTGAAAATCTAAAATAGTTAGAGCTTAGATGTTTGGCATAAAAATCTTCTAATAGATGTCTACCAAGCTTGTTCAAATAAATTCCGTAGGGTCAAAACTGACCCCGACCCATGGGGTCATTGATTTTCCTTATATGTATATAGTAAAATCTTATAAAATCATATTTTGACAATCCAAAATCACTATAGATAAGATATTTAGCATAAAACATCTTCTAGTGGATGTTTCCAAGTTTGTTCAAATGAATGCCCTAGGGTCAAATTTGGCCCGTCCCAGGGGTCATTCATTTTTCTTATATGTATATAGTAAAACTAAAAAAAATCTTCTTGTGACAATCCAAAAGACCTAAAACTTAGATATTTGGAGCAAAACATGTTCTAGTGTATGTATACCATGTTTGTTGAAATAAAACCCCTAGGGTCAAAATTGGCCCCGCCCCAGGAGGATCGAGGTCTACATCTGAATCCCCAGCCAGGTCAAATGTTTGTTTTCCCTCTCTTTTTCTATCATCTTTTTATTAGCTCACCTCTCACTTAGTGACAGCCTGAACTGTTTAATAAAATTATTGCAAGAGTTAAAATTAGAAAACAACAGCATCTAAACAACATCTTGACCACTGGTTCAGGTTTGAAATAATTTTACTCAAAAATTGCCTTGGTGAAAGTGTACAATTTTTTTCAGATTTAGCTGTCCTTTTGTTTTCAAATTGTTCTTCTGGGGTGAAAATGGGCTACACTTTGACCTTTTGACCTATTTCTCAGGTGAGCGATCCAGGACCCTCTGGGCCCTCTTGTTTGAAATTGCCTGCTATTCAGTATTCTGACTCAAATTTAAAATGCTTGCATTTGTCATAATTTCAGGTCAGTTTGGAATAGCGGCATGTTTAGTATGTGCGGGCTACGTGTCATGTGATTCTAGATATATTGCTGTGATGTTGCTCTGCTTTGCTTGCACCTTTGCTGGGTTCTCATATGGTGGATTTTTTGCAAACCATGCAGAATATGCCGGACAGTAAGTATCATAAAGCCGCTTTTGATAAACTTTGTAAAATTGAAAAAAAAAGAAATAAAGGTTTAGATGACTCCAACATCTTTCTGACATTATATTTTAGAATGCAAGATTTGTTTACTCTTTTGTTAATTCATTATAAGTCTGACCAAGAAGATCATGGTGGGTTTTTGAGATAAAGCACTTCATATTTTGTAAGAAGTGATAGATAAAAATTACTTAAATCTATATTTAGGTTTGCTGGAACTGCTTTCGGAATAACAAATGCTGGCGGAGTGATTTCATCGCTTGTTGCTTCAATGATGGCAGGACTTCTTACACCAAATGTAATCTTAGTTAAATAATTTATTTGAATCTTTACATCAGTTGTCATTTTAATTATTTTTTTTAGATACAGCGTCAATGAAATGTTTAAAAACGTTTTATTCCATTTTAGTTGAACCATTAGCTGTTTCTTTTATTATGTTTCGTAATTGAGAGACAAAACATACATAACTGATTGTTTTTTTTTCTTGGGAGTTTTATTTCGTCCTCCTTAAAACTCTTTAATGTAATATCTGCGTTAACTATGTTTTGTGTTCGTAAGTTCATCCACTGGCTATGTTGTAGGGTTTACAAGAAGAATGGCAGCGAGTATTCTACATAGCCGCGGGTGTTAACGTTGTTGGAGCTCTGTCATTTACAGCATGTTCTGATGTGTATCTTCAGTCTTGGGCCAGAACTCAAACTATTATCACAATAGATGTTGACCTAGATAAAGGAATACAAGAACTTAAAGTTTTAAAAAATGAAAACGTGCCAAAATCAGAGACAGCTGAAAACATTCACGAAAACACACCTTTACAGAAAAACATATAATAAGAGTATTCTACGAAGATGTAAAATTTCTGATATTAAAATCACAGTCGTATGTTCGAATTTATTACTAGACATTTTATTACACTATTGCTATAAATAAACATACATATAACTTTATTTCACTCAGGTATATCAAAGTATACAACATGAGGTTTATCAATAAGATAGCATTAATTGCAAATTGTCTCAGAATGTGTCATTGTTTGTGTACTACTCAAACTTAGACCGTACTCTCATTTATTGTGTCTGCCACTCAAACAAAGACCGTAATCTCATTTATTGTGTCTACAACTCAAACAAAGACCTTCATCTCATTTATTGTGTCTACCACTCAAACAAAGACCGTACTCTCATTTATTGTGTCTACCACTCAAACAAAGACCGTACTCTCATTTATTGTGTCTACCACTCAAACAAAGACCGTACTCTCATTTATTGTGTCTACTACTCAAACAAAGACCGTACTCTCATTTATTGTGTCTACCACTCAAACAAAGACCGTACTCTCATTTATTGTGTCTACCACTCAAACAAAGACCGTACTCTCATTTATTGTGTCTACCACTCATACAAAGACCGTACTCTCATTTAATGTGTCTACCACTCAAACAAAGACCGTACTCTCATTTATTGTGTCTACCACTCAAACAAAGACTTTAATCTCATTTATTGTGTCTACTACTCAAACAAAGACTTTAATCTCATTTATGGTGTCTACCACTCAAACAAAGACCGTACTCTCATTTATGGTGTCTACCACTCAAACAAAGACCGTACTCTCATTTATTGTGTCTACTACTCAAACAAAGACTTTAATCTCATTTATGGTGTCTACCACTCAAACAAAGACATACGTCTCATTTATTGTGCCTGCCACTACAAAGACCTTCATCTCATTTATTGTGTCTACCACTCATACAAAGACCGTACTCTCATTTATTGTGTCTACCACATAAACGAAGGCTTTAATCTCATTTATTGTGTCTGCCACTCAAACAAAGACCGTAATCTCATTTACTGTGTCTACCACTCGAACAAAGACCTACATCTCATTTATTGTGTCTACCACTCATACAAAGACCGTACTCTCATTTATTGTGTCTACCACATAAACGAAGGCTTTAATCTCATTTATTGTGTATGCCACTCAAACAAAGACCGTAATCTCAAATTATTGTGTCTACCACTCGAACAAAGACCTACATCTCATTTATTGTGTCTGCCACTCAAACAAAGACCTTCATCTCATTTTTTTGTTTCTACCCCGAAAACAAAGACCATTCTCTCATGTATATATCTACCACTCAAACAAAGGCTTTACTTTCATTTTTTTTATCTACAACTCAAACAAAGACCGTAATCTCATTTATTGTTTTGTTAGAAAGATAAACAATAATTTTATAAGGATATGTAAGAATCTCGTTGTTGTTTTTTAGTTCTTTTTTTGTTGTTGTTTTATTTCCAATGTTAATTATTTGAAACAACATTTATGTTAAAAATATTTTGATATAATGGTAATAACTTTTACACACATGATGTCGCTGTAATAATGCTCATGCTCTTCTCATGTTGTATGTAACCGCCGCAATTGAATGTATGGCGATGAATATGTGATATGTTTATATGCTAATAAACTCATTGAATTGAATTGATGTTCTACATTCTTCTCAAAAATAGGATAATAATAAATTTGATGTGTTTTTAATGAGTTATTTTTTTTCTTTGTCTGCCTTTTTATAAAAGTTTGTTTTCATTTGGTAAGTGTACATATGTATGTTTGGCTAATATAATAGCACTTGTCACGTACGTAAGTATTCAAATGCGATCAGTTGAATGCAATAAATATTCCACATAGGAAGGATATTTCTACTTCTGGCTAAGTTTGATTATAAAATTCCAAGAAGGAACATCTATTGAGAGGAAAAGTACTAAATTGATAAATGGAAAATTTGGTTAACTTGTGTCTGTTCATAAGTACAATAAAATGCAGCACCTCTTTTACACCCTAGCACCGGCTTCAGCAGATTTCAATGTTCAAAAATTAAACCACCGGATTCCATGATTGTGCTCCAAATACAATATCAACCCTAGCGATTTACATGGTTTGTCTATTTGATATACTAGCTAATATATCTGTAGCATATGCCACTGTTACATTTTCCTTTAATTTCAGTCATTGACCATGCCGCATCTTTATCAGATCATCACAGTTCATTATTTTTGTAATTAAATAAATAAATAAATGGTTCTACATTAAATATAATGTAAATAAATTCGACTAATACGTATATCAGTGACAAATTATAAAACTCATCATTTCATTGTACAGAAACTAATTAACTTGTTTTAACTTACTGTTAAAGCGGCCTTCAGTTTTAATTTTCCGTTGGAAAACAATTCTGTGTTGTGTTGTTTCAAACTTAGTAGTTCATAAATTGTATCTTGGAAAAGGGTATCATATCACTCAATTCAATTCCAATTGAAACTGAGTCATAATGTAAAGCCTTCTCGAGAGAGCTATTTATAACACGTTAGTGACTTCCGTTTCTAAAAATAGAAGACCGGGAAAGGAATCGTCCGCTTTACTAATTTAAATATAGAGGGCCCGTAGATTAGAGGTACTATTATTATTTTTATTATTTTGTCGTCGGCAGATGTCAATTTCCACTTTAATTCTTTTGATTTGATTCTTAATTCTTTTATATGAAACGATTTATCTAAAAAATAACATAATTATCTAACTTTTAGAAAAGCTGAAGGCCGCTTTAAATAATTCTTATCCGCAGGGGACAAATGTTCCATAGTAAACGATGTGCGAATGTAAGTTTTCACTGATATACATATTTGTATGTATATAAATATTAAGTGTATTTTAAGCAAACTGGAAAGAGTTGTCTGCATTGAGCACCTCTATGACATTTAATAAACTTTATCAAGTTTATTTTACCGTTTGTCAACATAGCTATGGACGAATGATAGTGACTCATATTTTTTGAGTCTTCCGCGCTAGGTAGTTGCAAATTTGTACGATTTGCTTATGATTTTGGATTAATAAGACCGTTTAGATTTTGCTTATCAGTGTGCGTATTATACACTGTTGTCTACGAAATATTTCAGGTAAAAAAATGGCCTAATGTTAATCATGTATGTATGCTTTTGTTTGTTTGTTTGGTTTTACGCCTTTTCCCAACAGTATTTCAGTCATATAGGCGGTTAGTTTTCTAACCATCGTTTCTGGAGAGTTACATCAGTACTAGACTACCTTCATCCGTGCTAAACTACCAAAGCATCTCCCGGGGATCGAACCCACGCCAGAGAGGTAACTGGATTAGAAGTCATCAACTCTAACCCCTCGACCACGGAGGCGGTTTTATGTATGCAGTATATTTAAGGCACAAGAAATCAGCTTTCGCTGTCGAGTACAGACGGACATGACACCATATAAGGTATTGTTTGAATGTATTAAGCATCGTTTGGCGGTAAGATTATGTGAAAGCTCTGGATTTGGAGTCCGTTTAGCGACATTTTCTTCATACGCATTGCATATTTTGGGCACACCAAAGCCCACGACGGAAAGAATATCTCAATGAAGACCGCATAAAAATCCGAACAAAACTGGGTAAATATAGAGGAAAGCCAGGAGGGTCGAATCACATTTCGATTTAAAAAAAAAAAAGATTTGAATTTTATATATATATATAAATGTTTAAAATGTTGAAAACTTACCCTGTGATTGACCTATTTTCTCCTTCACATATCGAGTAATACTGCACATATTGAGTAGCGGAAATTCACATATATTTTTTACCGATGCTCAATTTTGAGATTCACATGGGGTTCCTTCCCCGTGTTAAAGAGTTAATTTGGAAGCACAAAATGGTGATAATTTACCTCCTGTAGTATTAGCCAAAAATATGGATTTTGAGCCAAAAGTAGGTCACTGTACGGCGGTCAAACAGAACCTAAATGTACAGTTACATGAGAAAATAATCCTTAAAAGGGCTGTTGGTGCCAAGTCTAGTGGTGATCAGAACGGACAGTGTAATGATATGTACTTGCCGCTAGTTATCTATACACATTGATAAACTTTGCATGAAAGGATTTAAATGTGATTATCTATCTCAATAGATTGGTTCAATTTCCAGTTTGTTTTGTTTACTTATGTTTAACAAACATCAGTAAGGATAGATCTATAATGAGTGAATGAGTGCCACACAAAACAAACGAGGTATGATTGATGATTTGTTTGACTTTTTTTAACCAACAATTTTTTTTTTTTTTTTGGGGGGGGGGGTGGAAAACTATACTATGTACAATGTATAACGTTATAAACCCTGTATATTAACCTGCCAAATACATACATATCATATATGGTCACTACACACAAATATATAAAATCTTATCCGGCAGGGTTAGATGGGCAATAAATAAAAGTGCATTAGCACATATGTTTGTTGTGTGAACCAAGTGTCGTTTGATACCGGTATTTTTGTGGTGCAAGATATCTAAATCATACCTATATTTTATTGGTATACTTGGCCGTATTGATTTTAATTATCCTTTAGGTTTCTTAAACTTTGATATTCCAGGTTAAGATTTTTTTTTTGGGGGGGGGGGGGGGGGTGGGGGTTGTTTTAATGCGATTAATGCCGATTTCAACATAACAAATGTTTTGGTCATAATTCGGCTGTTAATTCACCTAAGCGACTTTCCCCTGAATGCATAGATTGAACAGTAATAACCAATTTCTTGACCGACTACTACTTGAATCAGCAACAGTAAAGCTGGATTGTCGCCATATGACCTCTCTCTCCCCCCCCCCAAAAAAAAGGACTCGAAACTGCGATGTCTGCTTTTTTATACAATGCCGATGAAAATATGATTGTTTTTTTACTATGCCGTAATTAGTAAAAATATCAACATGCATTCCAGGTTAAGTTTTCAACCTTCTTCTATATTTTTTAATTAAAAACGAGATGTATTATAATCAATATTATGCTTTACTTTGTCATGTCCTATATGTATGTATGTAATATGTTGTCCTTATTAGCCTATTGGAAATGAAATAAATAAAAAATATATAAAGTAGACGTAAGTAAAGTAAATGTATACGTAATTGACATGCCAATAACATTGGATTTTACTCATCATGCAAAACATATGAAATAATCTGTTGTAAAGTTCAAGCGTATTAAGATCAAATTCATGAACTGAGCAGTTGACATGATAGAGCTTGCGCCTAGTTATTTACATGGTGGTATGTAATAGGCCATCACTTCTTTACGCTACTATGGAAAGCTTTAATTGATTGTGAAATTTCTCTTTGTCGTCTTGTAAAAGCGTCCTAGATAGTAAGTCCTAGTTTTTCACTTTTTTCTTAGATACAAGTGCAATTTAGTCACACTATTCTATTTAAAGGTCAAAAAATAGTGCCGAATTTGATAAAATTCTTGTTTTACCTCTTTAGATAAAGCATTGATAGACGCCTTATCAGTAAGAAAGATACTTAAAAATTAATTTTTATGGTCGGCATTTTTGAACGGATCAAACACGTGAGACATGCGTAATTTTCACCTCTATTTACCACGCTAAATATCTGAAATGTACTTGTGCATTTTTTAGTCTTAACAAAATGATTTTCATCTTATTTTGGAGAACATGTCAAAATATGTACTGACTGAAAAGCGAACAGTACAGATCACGATCAGGCACCGCGGATATGCCGGCTGAACTTGGTCTGCTATGGTCGCACGGTTGTTTGACATGTGAGATATAAAGCCACATTCCGTGTGACGAGTCTATTGTTTTTTTGGCCAAAATATGAATCAAATCTTAAATAGATAACACAGTAATGACCCTTCAAGCAACTTTCAATTATTTGACCGTAACGGATAAAACGGATATATGTACATGAATTTCCGTGAATAATCGGAGTTCTGAGATATGTAAGTAAATATTTGTCTTTAGCATCCAATCCATTCATGCAACAAATGACAAAAATGATATAATTGAGCCGCGTCATGACAAAACCAACATAATGGGTTTGCGACCAGCATGGATCCAGACCAGCCTGCATATCCGCGCAGTCTAATCAGGATCCATGCTGTTCGCTATCAGTTTCTCTACTTTGATAGGGTTTGTAAACCAACAGCATGGATCCTGATCAGACTGCGCGGACGCAAACGCATAACGTTGGTTTTGTCATGACGTATTTCAAATGACTTTATGCATGCCTCATCTCATTGATCAAAACTGTATAAATTGTAATAATATTCATTTACAGAGATGGAAAGAAACGAAAAAGAAACGGATTATTTAGAAAATAAGTGTGATATGGATCAATTTTCAAAACTTAGCGAAACGGGTATGTCAGTTAAAGTTAAGTCATTTTTAATTGAATAGTCTAATTAAATAAACTAAAATTTTTGTCCATGAAATGTTTGTTTTAGTTCAGAAATGTCAGTATATTGTTGTCAATCAAAAGTCAAAAGGTATCTCAGTTGAATGTTGAACTAAAAGAAATAGCACAAAAATATTTTATTATTCTCTCTTGTAAATTCTAAACCTTTTATGCAACAAATACGCAATATGTTTTTCTACAGATCAGCCGACAGTCTTCTGTTCAATGAGATGGCGTATGCTGGCCTACATTTCCCTGTCTTTAACTATTATGTATATGCACCGTGTAAATATGAGTCTAGCCGTTGTTTGCATGGTGAATACCTCGCATAGTGACACTTTAACGTCACAGAGTAGCAACAGTGATATCTATATCATAGCAAACAGTTCTATAAAAGGAGTTCTAAATGGCGTTCAGGCGGATGAAACAAACATTTCCTCCGTTGAGAATATGATATACAATGATCAAAATGCCACAATAGTGATTGAAAGAGACACTGATGATATTCAGTGTGGAAATATTGTATTACAACAAGATGAGGTAAGTACTCCGAGTATAAGTACGTGAACAACAAGATGAGGTAAGTACTTCGAGTAAAGTATGTAAACAAAAGTTCTACAATATTGATGTAAAAATATTAGCATGATAGGATAAAAAGTCAATAACAGATGAAAAAAGCCATAATGAATATTGACAACATAGTTTTCAAAAGGAAATTGAGTTAAATGATATAAACTTATATAACATATTATTAATTAAGCTAAAATTAATTTAATACCAGGTCGCTTTTTCCTAGTGATTAATTTCCTGTTCCCATTGGTGTTTATAACCTCATAATGTATTGATATTTTTTATTTTTTACAAATGACGAATACAATGTATTATAAATAAAATAAGATAAATGAAACAAATTTTAAGAAGGGGAAATAATGGTACATATTAGTACAAACCTATTACAATACTATCAATACAGCGTTAGATTCTTTGGCTCGGTAGTGCAGTGCAGTGGGTTATCGCAAGTTCAAATTTCAAAATTCCATATTGGGCGTATTTGTTTAGTTCACTAATAACATTAGGGGAGAACTAAGTCGATCGATGTGAATACTCTGATTACTTATTTCATTTAGGTCTACATACGATGTACTTTGAGGTTTTGTCAATTGTGTAGATATGTTTATCTTTGACATTCCAAATCCTTCTAGTTTATTTGGTAACTAAATTATATTTTTTAATCGTTGATTTTTTTTTAGGAATTGGCACTTGAAATCCATTGGTCGAAATCTGATGTATCAATTTTATTGTCTTCTTACCTATATGGCTCATTTTTCACACAAATTCTTGGCGGGACGTTATCTGATATTTTTGGCGGGAAACATATCATTACAACAGCCATGTTGGTCAGCGCCATCTGCTCACTTTTAACACCAGTAGGTGCAAGAACAAGTCTTGTACTGATGTTTATTATTAGAATATGTGCTGGTTTCGCAGGTGTAAGTATCACAATTTGTTTCCGCTTCAATTATCTAAATATACTTGAAACAAACAAATACCCGCAATAAGAAATAAAACTTCAAAACCAAAACCAAAATCATAGGAACAACAACAACAACAAACATTTTTTCAGTTTCTTTAAAATGTATAACTGTAAGATTAAATCAGATTAGGCTGCATTAGGATATATAAACCAGTACATATACTTTCATACAGGGTGCAGTGGTGCCAGCCGGTATGTCAATGATAAACTCATGGTCTACACCTCACGAACGATCTGTCATGATAGCCATCAGCCACTCCGGTACGTACACAATAATTTATTACTAATTGACATAATACATGTAGCGTTTGTTTTTCATTTATTTAAATCATTGCATAATTTGTTCAGGTAATGATAACCAAATGCTTCGTAACAGCGAACACAAAGGTGCCACAATACGTATATTATACATTGAATTTCATCATCACCCAAACCTAGCCTGCAATTAACATAATTATACCGTTATAAAGACTTTATGTATCTCTGCTATTTTCTGTAGACTGTTTTTACCAGCAAGTATTTTGATATTTGATAGTAGTGTTGTACTCTACACTGTTTATCACATTCTCTGCACTTCATATTTGATTACTTATCAATCAATCGTTTGTTTAGTTCATAATTAATTTGCTCTTTTTGTATTTATTTAGGTGCATTTACCGGGGCTATCATAACATATCTTACATCCGGGTTCCTTTGTGCGTACGGGTTTGATAATGGCTGGGCTTCCATATTTTACATTCATGGTATCTTATTTCCTTTTTATTAAAAGGAATATTTTGTTGTATTTTTATCACAGATACGTGTATAGTTGTATTGTATCACTGACACAAATGCAAAGGAAACCTACATAATTAAACAGTCTGAAGTCACAATATTGGAAAAACATAAATTAGTTCGCATCGGAACAACATAGCAGATACTAAGAAGTACTTGTCAAAGGAGCGCCTTAAAAATTATCTTGATATTTTTGTGGAGCTCCGACACTAAATAAGCAACACCCACCTTTACAAAGTATCTTATTCTTTTGAAATTGTGCGAAATTTATTTGTCCTCTTTCAACAATAGTAAATATATATAATTTCAGGCTGTATCACTGCGTTGTTTCTGTGTTTGTGGTTATTTGAAGGATACAGTCTTCCGTCCCATCACCCTAGAATATCAAAAAAGGAATTAGAGTATATTGAGAAATCAAGGAGTCATAAAATAAATGTAAGGTTTTCCATAAAAATCATGATCATTTAGATTTTACTTAAACTATAGGATAGTTACATTTCATTGCAATCATTAATATTTTGAAATGTTTTAAAATGGCATGATAGTTAGCTAGATAGTATTTAATGTTATTTCTTGTCACATTCACATTTGATTCAATTTTATATTTACTATTTACTCCTTTAACTGAACTTTTCCCTTTGCACTAAAATGGAAGATTCGGTTTTTGCTAAACATATTAACATGTATTTCTAAAATATGGTTATTCATCTTCGACGATTTTAGTACATGTATAAAAAGCAGTATCATTCTCTTTCTATTTCAGACTCAACGTCCAAAGACTCCATGGAAACAATTATTGTTATCTAAAGCACATTTTGGGACGTTAATTGCTCATTTTGCCATTGCTTGGAGTATTTTAATGGTCCTCATCAACATTCCTCTGTTCCTTAATGAAGTCTTAAAGTTTCAAGTGAAATCGGTGAGAAAAGATATCGTTTATCATAAAGATTGAATCAAAGATCCTGTATGCTGTATGTAAAAACACTTAAGTTAAATTGTATACATTTTAATAATATTTTTTCTAAACAAATTTCCAAACATCCAAGAATATCTTAAGTATGTACTGCAAATGTTTCTGCGCATTATAAGAAATCAGTAAAATATCATTAAAATATATGCATTTATTTCTTATTGAAAAATTTTGCTTAGACTTATCGAAAATAAAATTCTAATTACCTCCTTTTCATGAAATGTAAATTTGGTAATATCTTTATAAACAATGCTTTTTGGAACTTACAATATTGATAAATCGTCATTTGAGCATAATATTTATGAAACTATAACAAATTTGAGTTACAGGATCTTTAAGTAAATTTTGAAATTCAGATATGCTCAGACAAATAACCAGTTCAGTGTCAAAGAAGATTTATTTGGCTTGTCACGTGTTAGTGTCATCTGTTTTATATTTGTATTATAAAAACAAACAAAACAAGAACAACAGGCAAAACAACAAGCTATCTTTTGAATTTTGACCCATTGAATGCTTCATCCATTAATTTTAAAAAAAAAGATCATTCTTACAAAATTGCACCATTATGATTTAAAGAAGACTGGATCTTTTTCATAAATAAATATATTCTTACGTTAGTTTTGTAGCTGGACACATGTGCGAGTACGATATTAAAAGTCAATTTTGGTTCATCGGCGGGTTGTCATGAATTGACCAAAGATTTTATAATGTGTATCCTCACCGCCAGAACAGTCCCTCAATATGGGGAATGAAAAATGTCAACACTTTCTACACAAAGTTGCATCCGATCGAAAGAATAAAATTTAATTTAAGCTGTCATAAAACACGTCTGCAGCATTTGACCCGTTCCAGTGTTTCATTGGACATTGCACCAAGTTTTACTGCCAGCATGTTGTTTTCTATCTTCACACGAAAAAGTGTTCAATTTGTTCATTTCTTTTTCAGAATGGATTATATTCAGCAATGCCGTTTATATTTTTAACAATTTCATCAGTAGTTTGTGGAAAGTTGTCAGGGGTGTTGATCGAGAGAAAGATTATAGGACATCTCGCTACAAGGCGTTTATTCAGTACCGTAAGTAAGTTCGAATTTTACCTACCAATATCTGGTTTACATTTTTTCTAAATAAATTTATCTTTTAATTTGGTATTAAACTACTGTTATGTTAATTTAGTATACCGTATAACTTGACTTCTATATTTTATGAACTGTTATCATCGTTTAAAGTTTGTTGATAATTTTTACCTTTGATGATTTTAGAACATGAATATTTTTGAGAGATAATAAAAACGTATGTTCTTTTAATGAAACTGTGATACTTAAAGAAAGGTACTGCCAATTGGCGCATTTTTATGTGTCTATTACGCCATGCCTTTTGACCTTATGGGTTATGTACTCCCAAAATCAATACTATTTTATGAAGTGAATAATTGCAGGCCTATTTCAAGCGGACTTTAGTGATGGTGACGTGTGTTTAGCGCTATTTGTTATATATAAAGCTTCAATATTGCTATTGTACTTATATGTTTAGCATGACCACCCACTGTCTTATACCCTGTTTAAGCAATCTTGCCGAGATGGATAAAAGAAAAAGTGATTGAATTTGAACTAACTTTAGGTATCCTAGGAATGGCGACGTGCCTTGTATGTACTGGTTATGTATCATGTGAAGTAAGATATATTGCTGTAGTATTGTTGTGTCTAGGATGTACATTAAACGGTTTTGCTTACGGGGGAGTGCTCAGCAACCATCCAGAATATGCAGGACAGTTAGTATTTTAAAATGTTCAATGTCATGTAAATCAGTTTGCAATTTAATGATAATTTTTAAGGTATTTGTAAGAGGAAAATTAATAATTATTATGAGAGAATGAGAGATGAAAAAAGAAAAAAAAACAAACAAACAGCTACCGCCTGAAGGGGGGTAGATACACACACGCAAGAAAAAGTATTCGTTTCTCGATGCCAGTTTGGAACGGACTATAGAAATGCGAAGGTTTAATCCTACAAATATAAGTACTAGTATATGTACATGAATTTTAAAACAATTCTATGTTTCTTTATCTTTGAATATATTTTCAGTCTACAGCGGAAACATATCTTTGCCCTTGCAGACAATGTTCGATCTTATCAAGGGCCGTTATGATAAATACTATTATAAAATATGTTACTCCTATTGGGTTCCAAAGATATAGATTCGATTTGATTGTTAAAGGCCCATTATGCCTCAGAAATGCAATCATTTTTATTTCTCAAATACTGTTTATTTTTGGTATCGTGTTACAGTTCCCCAAAACATACTCATTTACTTTATATATAAACTATATTTAACATCTTTAGCTCAGTTGGCATTTGGTATAATTTTAGTAAATAACTATTTTGTATGAAATTCAAAACACTACTGTACATAACTGCGTGTTCAGCGCTACTTTTTCAGTTGTAAAAAATTTGAATCCATTATTCACATATTTGACATTTCTAAAGAATTTCTGAGGCATAATGTGCCTTTAATGAACGGAGAACCTTCATCAGTAAAGGTTACTAAATATTTTAATGGTATTATTGACTTTTAGGTTTGCTGGGACTGCATTTGGGATTACAAACGCTGGTGGTGTTATCGCAGGTATAATTGCATCCATGACAGCTGGTTTTCTTACACCAAATGTATGTTATAATATTATCGTATATATACAATAGCAAGTAAGGGATAAAAACATCAACGACTGAATGATTTGGAACCTTTGGTTTCCAATAAAAATGAATGCTTTACAATACATTTATACACGGAGAAATTGTTTAATGATATTGAAACAAATGGGAATACCCACATCATTCTTACTGATAAGCAATATTTAAGTACTGCTCTTGTCAATGTGTAGTTGTAAAGATTTAGCAAAACTCAGTGAAAGCTGGTGTTTTCGTTCTTTACTATGAATTTGCGTCTGTGTTATTTTTTCTTGTAATAATTCAGATATATAAGAATTTCAGTATGATTTGTTTTATCGCGCACGTTTTAAGAAATTAGTTTCAAAACGAAATTTGTTTTTTACAGATATAAATATGTTAAATTATATTTAGTGTCTTAGTGTTTCTCATACTTATGAAAATGATCATTATCATCATGCTAAATACAAAAACATTACCAACAAAATTTCATGTCCAATTGGGATTTCAGGGTTCACAAGAAGAATGGCAAAACGTGTTCTTTTTAGCAGCTGGCGTTAATGTCATAGGTGCCATTGCTTTCTTAACCTGCTCTGACGTATACCTACAACCATGGGCTAGAGGTAATCAAGATGAAATTACAATAGAAGTTGACGAAAGTAAAGAATTACAAAATATCAAGAAATTGGACGGGAACGTTGTTGAAAGGAAATCAGACGAATTTGGAGATTCGGAAGAAATTAAAGCATTGACGAGCGACATGTGACAAAATCAAAGGAACATGAAACACAAAAATGAAGACACATATAAACTCAAATCAAGAATTTCAATTTCAGATTGCTTGTTTATTTGGTTATTTAAGCCAATTTACAACACTAATTAGGTCATGGTTGCAAATAAAACCTTGATGTCACATTATAAAAGCTACTTACAATTACACTGTAACAAATGTTATTATTCTCATTGATTTAACAGTCGGCAGTGTAATTGAACTTTACTGTCTCTCATTACTCTTTATTATTACGCAATTTAAAAAATAGATGAAATTGAAGACATAATATAGAAAATTAAAAGCAAAGAACACTTCAATCTTATATTTTTTGTTGGTGTATTGTTTATGATTGTAAATATTAGACTTCTCTATTGACGTCGGGTTAATTCAGGTTTGAGTGTCCCGTAAAAAAGGTAATTGCACTATTTTGTTATTTTCCAGTGAAACTTCAGCTCTGAAACGAGATACCTTTCCAATTGTTAAAGTTTTCAATTTTAGAATTTTATTTCAAAATATGCCTACATTCTAAGTTTCCTTCAAATACATAAATGATCATATCGTCATCTTTGTGCCTTCTATTTATATTCAAAAGGAATGTTTCCGCTACTGCAATTTTTTTCTTGAACAAACATTTTTAAAACAAATTAAATTCTATTCAAAAGTTTAACTTTTCCAATTCCATTCATAAGTAATCGTCAATCTGACTGAAATTCAGAACTACTTATTTCTTTTATGTAGATCTGATTCGAATTTCCCGAGAAAGCTATTTTTAGCCAAGAAATCAAACTGGTTTTCACATTAGAAGAAGTATTAAAATACCGTTATCCGTGGAAGTTAAACAAATGGTTGATTTTTATTAGAAAAAAATGTTTGAAGTAATTTTTAACAAATTAACTTGAAATGTTGAGTCAATTATTTTGGACAAGATTGTTTTGAAAGTTTACCTATCGGCTTTATGGACAACGCTATGTTTGTTCTCGAAATTGTGAAAATTAGCTAATCAGTATTGGTTTTGCCAGGGTTAAAATTAGAAACCACATCACTTTCAAAATTATGAAAGCTCGCCGATGATTGGCTGTGTGAAAGGTCAGCAGAAATGATTTCGTATTTGGTCACGGTTAGATCTAAATGCTATGCGTTATTTATAAGATTGAAGCAGTCGTCTACATTACAAATAAATATTTTCAAAACAATATGATCTCTTAGACCTTAACTTTAATATACATGTAATTAAGAATGTATCGATGGAGCTGCAACGTTTTGGTCAAGTAATGGACCCTTCTGCAAACACAACATGCCCTAAGAGCTAAAATAGGGGAGGGAATGGAATAACATTCCTCAACATTTCTTTCGAAACCATGTGTTGTCAATGAGGGCCAGGTACATTTCTGTTTTAAATGTAGGTGGTTGATATACCAGATTCTAACTCTGCATTTTCTTATACTGTTAACTGAAAGACATGTTATACAAAAGGATAAACTGTATTTTATGTTAAACTGAAAAGTTTGATGAATTCCGTAAACATGTCCCATTTTGTTTTTAGATCGACTTTTTTCGGAGAGAAAATAGAGGTATTGTTACATTAATGGCGGCGTTCCCGTTGCCGTCCCCCGAACTGTAACGAAGATCAAAACCTTTTAAGTCCGTTGTGCATTGTCTTCATACTTTGCCACAACAATCCTTGGGAAAAGACCTCAAAGAAGACAAGACTGACCTTGACCTTCAAGATCAAATGTCTAAATTTTGCTAGATTTTTGCTGATTTTTGCTATTACTTTGTTATTTTGGAATGGATTGTCTTCAAACGTTAATATAACAATATTCTAGGATAGACCTTGAAGTAAATCAGAGAAACAATGGCCTTTACTCATAAATGACATTGACCTTGAAGGTCAAATTATTGAAATTTTCTCTTTGTTTTGCTGTTTGTATTAGCCATAACTTTGTCATTAATAAAATGAATTAATTGACTTCATATAAAGCAAATTAAGACACAACATTCTTTAGAATAAGACCTTGATGCATATCAAACTCAAATTGACCTTTCATGACCTTGAAAGGTAAATTATTGAATTTTCACTGATTTTTGCTATAATTGACTGTTTGATTGGGTTTTACGTCACACCGACACAGTATAGGTCATATGGCGAGGTTCCAGCTTTACTGGTGGAGGAAGACCTCAGGTGCCTTCCGTGAATTATACCAGGCACGAACGGGCACCTGAGTAGAACCACCGACGTTCCGTAAGCTAGCTGGATAGCTCCCTCACATGAAAGAATCCAAAGTCCCTGTCGAGATTCGAACCCACAGTTGTGAGGGGCCAGCGGTTTGAAGTCAACGACCGTAACCACTCGGCCACGGACTCCCCCATAATTGACTGTTTCTTGATAATTAATCAATGGATTAAATTTATACTTAGACAAAACAACCTTTTGGACAAGACCTTGTAAAAGATTGAACTTACCTTGACCTAGAGCTTTAAATGACTTATTGAATTTTGGTTAAATTGTCATATTCTGTCATGAAGGATTATTGGATTAGCCGCTAAAAGCTCAGGACGCTTTTTTCGAATCGCTGGTCTTAGGTGTTTTTTTAAGGTACTCCACATAGTACTTGCCATTGGTAGTTTTCCACTTTGCACTTTATGACTTGTCAATACACCATGGATATCGTATGCAAATATCATCAGCATCTTAAGTTTTGACAGTACCCGTCTAAACTTTGCTGGCCTCGGAGAGTTAGGAGTATGCCACACAGCCGATTGTCTTTTTAACTCTGGCTCATACGATCTTACCCAAGTTTCATCAATAGCCACAATTCTTGATAAAAAGTCTCTGCCCTCTTTACTAAACCGTGAAAGATGGTTAGTAGCGATGTTCAAACGACGTTCTGCTTGCTCCGACGTCAAGCGATGTAGTACCCATCTTGCTGAAACCTTGCGAATCCAGTTCCTGTGCTAATTCTTCACACGATATCCTTCTGTCATGATTTAAAAGCTTTTTTACCTGGACCGTACTATACGAGTCAGTAGCTGTAACATTTCTCCCTTGTCGATGGTTATCTTTAACACTGTCCCTGCCTTCCTTGAATTCTTTCACCCATCTAGTAACTTGTACATACGAAAGAGCATAGGTGCCGCAAGCTTCCTGTAATGCATTGAATATCTCTTTCGCGCTGTTCTTACGCTGAACTTCAATTTTGATGTAACTGCGCTGTTCCTGCGACGTGAACGCAGCTACGACGGTTTAAGTGACGTCAGCTAACGTCACGCTGTGATGACGTCACATGATATGACGTCATCAAACTTTGTGAAAAAATCGAAAATAGATTGACGCATAGTCAGGTAAATTTTTATGGAATTCGAATCATTAGTTTAAAAGTTATTAAGATGGTTTCATTATTTATTGAATGACCCTCGTAGTTCGCAAGGGAATGGCAAACGCTCACACGATTAAGACAAACGTGTATTGACGTAATTGAGTAAAGCTTGAAAAAGAACAAAATGCCTTTAATTTATAGGCTTTGAGAAGAGAAATGCACTTGTAATATTCGACCATGTTAAGTCTACAAACCAAACTTTACAGTTTTTAGGGGGACTATTAAGATATTTAATGTACGTTTCTTTTCTTTTTATTTCATATTTCTACTTTTCAACATCATCTAAAGAGAAAAACACAAACCCTTATTTCATGCTTTCCTGTGTTTAAATGTAATATATAAGATGATTAAATTCTGATAAACCACTAGTGAAATTTATAAAATATAATTTTCAGTGTACTGGCATGCGAGCAGATCCCGTACAGAAGCAGTACCCGTATTTTTCGTTTAAACGCTTGATTTTAACTTGCATTCTTCAAAAATTGATATAAAATCAATTAGATGCATAAACGAAACAAAACCCAAGTGCCAGTTCGGCAGTACGTTTAAAAGTTTCATTTTCAGAAAATACCGGCATTTTTGGTGTTTTCTTTTCGTCGACTGATAACGTATACCTCCTGAACTATCTCGACCGGGTTATAAAAAATATGAGAAATAAAGTTTATAAAAAAAGGATGTTTGTTTTACTTATATCCTCACTTGGTTTGAAGACGGTTTTGATCCACTAACACATTTAGACGGTCCTCTCCAGGTGTGTTTGATTATAATAAAATCGGCTATAAATCATGGAACAAACGAGCCGACATACTTCAATATAAATCAATCAATGACCCTAACCTTGGGACATATTGTGGGACAAATAATTTGGTAAATGTCAGTGAAATCGTAATTAATCACAGGGAAGAGTTTATATCTCTTTATAAGTGTTTATATCCTTAAATAAATATTTATATTGATAATAACCCGCACATTCGGGTGTTTTATCACCAAGTGAAGTTATCTCAATAGGCGCGCATAACTGTGTTGAGGACAGAAAGATGTCTATGTTTTAATATATATAGATATATGAATATATATCTGAGAGGATTAATGCATTTTTCTCTCGTTAAAGACTTATCAATGATTTTTTTTGTGTATGGACACAGCAGAAGATGTTTTCTCCTTTAGACACACAACGATGTCTATAAAATTAAACAGTTTAAAACTGTAAAAATGTCATAAAAATTTTGATACCTGAAAACTTAGGTAATAAAGTGTGTAGAAAATTATAAAAATAGATGAACATCGCGGTCGATTTTGGCCTTTAACAATATAAATTGTAAACTTTAATATCATCAACAGTTACTGATGAAGTATGATTAAGCATGCAATTGTTTTTGAGCAGAATATGTTTTTTTGTGCAAAATTAGATATTAACATATGAATAAAACTATTCACTAGAGACAATGTAAAGAGCCCCCGGCGCCGTTTTGAGTAGTTTTTGATCTTCAATACTAAAAGTACTGGAATCAATAACCACGTTCGAATACACAGCTTGCAGCATTTGAAACTTCATACTTCTGCAAAACAGATCCTCAACAATGATTCGTAAGTCATTTTCAGTCAGTGACCTTGACTTCGCAGCCGAAGAGGCTCCATCAAAGTGTTTTTTAATTATGATACGCCTTTTAAAAGGTTAAGTAAGAGGATTTATTTAAGTACATAAGTAGCACAACACTTTAAACATATGTAAACATTACAATCAAGTAAAAGTATTGGGTAAACTTGTAAATTAAAAACCTCTGCTTGCACTTTAAAATGTTTGTGCTGTATAAATTTACAGACGCGCGTGCACGTGTATTCCTCCAGTATACTATCAGGTATAATTTCCTGTCAAAAACATAAATATCAAAATGTCTTTCTGACCATTTCCTTGGCAGTTATATTACAGAAAACATAAAAATGGTTCCTGATTATTTTACGTACATCATTCGGATTGAGCAATAAGGACGGCAGCACTAACTACGACAACAACGAGAACAACAACAATTACTACAACAGCAACGATTGTATAGTGAAAACATAAACTTAATTACCATTTCAATTACACGTTGTTTTTCAACAATGGACAATCATGTGTCACCTGAAATGAATTAATCTGTATGAGCGTGTGTTAGATTTTTGTACAGTTGCTGGTAAAAGATTTTTTTGTTTTTCTTTAGGACAGCTTTTTTGAAATATTTTCTCCGGAAGTTACTTATCAACGTTTAGGTGAGTAACATCTTTTATCACACACCCGTGCCGCTCTTGTGACTCCGTAAAAATTGTATTGCACGACCATGCATATATTTTGACCTGACGTCATTTGCTTATCAAACATAATGTAAAGACACCACTAACACTATATATAGGGGCATCAATTTGTTGTTGTTGTTGTTAAATACACTTTAAATAGTTATTATACTTTGGGTATGTGATAAATAGAATATTTTATTAGTGTAGGTTCATTGCTGAATTTATTGAACTCGTTGAAAAAAGTAATATTGTGCTCGCCAGAGGCTTGCATAATCTAATTTTATTCAACTCTTCCAATAAATTCAGTATTGTACTTACACTCATACAATATACTCTATATAATCAATAACTAATGACAATATATTGCCATCAATGCAATACAGAGGCAAGACGGCCTGCACATCTACCAGAATATCTAATGATACAATTATTAAAATGTTTAATCATGCCTATTTATAAAAAATATATGTTTGTGCATACATGTATGTTTAATAATTTGCCTTTTTACCATGTATGAGTTAATTGATCGAAAGTTTTATTGATGTCATTCTCATGGATCATATGTGATTTATTGCATAATAAAGTTTCTTGTCATTATATAGTTGTTTTTTTTTATTGTCAATGGCTAAAATGCAATTTCAAATCTTACATCTTAAATTTTACATATTCTCTTCTTTATACAGTGTGAGTATGACGATACGAAACCGGACGGGTGTACACTAAAATACATTTCTAACACCTTTTTTTCAAAATCATTTTGCACTTTGAAATGGTTTGGCAAATTTCCGCTAAATATCATTTATGGCGGATGACCAGTTTGCATTATGTATGAC